GCGGAGGCCTGGTCAGGAGGAGCTGGCAGAACCACCTGGCTCTGGCCCTCACCTCCCTGGCCCCTGGCAGGGCCGCCCATCCCATCCCGATGCCCCCTGGCACCTGGTCTGAGGAGGGGAAATGGAGCCCCCGGAAGGGATGGCCGGACTGGCGGCTGGAGGAGAGGCTCTGCTCTGGGAGCCACCCGCCCTCCGGGCCCCACCAGCCTTTGCCCACCCAGGGTGGGCCACACAGTGTTGTCTGCTCCGGCTCCAGGGGGGGATGCCCTTCCACAGGAGTGGAGGAGGCAGAAGCAAGGGGCGGAAACCCGTGCTGGGCAGGAGAAGAGTCACCCCAACTGCCCTGTGGGGGCCTGTGGGGCCCACAGCAGAGCGTTCCCCGCTGGGACCTGACTGCTTTGCAGACAAGGTTGCTGAAAGGCACACCAGTGGTCCCGACATCGTGGCAGCGCACACACCTCTGGCCACTCCATCTCACCCACCCGACGAGCCAGGCTAGAGGCAGAGGAGCCGATGGAGGGGCAGATTCAGCAGGGAAGCAGGCAGCAAGAGGTCCCAGGCCAGGCCTGACCGGGGTTGGCCCGCGCCTGCTGGAAGCCGGTCGGGGCCCACAGGCCTGGCCTGCTCCTTGAGGACGGCCACGGTTTGAGGCCCTTGTCGGCTTGGGCCACGTTTTTCCAGCATTTCCTGCACGGGGGGGGGGACTGCTCCCTGCCAGGCTCGTGGAGGCAACTCGTCTGGGGAGATTCGTGTCCCCCTCGGACACGTCTGTCCCTGTTGGGAATGCTTGGCCCACTCTCATGTCCTCCTGGCTCTACACTTCGGGGCCCGATTACCATGGGAATGGTCACATCTGTCCTGGTGGCCCACTCCTGTGTTCAGGCTGAGGCCAGGGCTGTGTCTGAGAGTTAGTTGACCTGGCCAGCACCTGCGCTGCTGATTCAAGGGTTCCGAGTTAGCTAGGGGTGGGGGAAGTTTGTCTTATGGGCAATTAACTTGGCCCGTGTATCTCCCCCGCATCCTCTCAAGCCTTAGTTAAATTTGTCTGGGCACCCGCCAAGGAGCTGGCTGGCAGGATTCAGACTATGATGCTGAATCGCCTGCTTTATTGGAGGCCACTCAGACTTCCTGGGTGGGGATGCCCCTGCAGCATGGGCCAAGCTCCAGGCGGGGCTTGAGCCCCAGGAGCCAAACCCTGCTGGGGGGCTCCTTGGTCTTCCTCTCCTTGCCCCGTCCCCAGCTTGCAATCTTGTTTCCCTGCTCCCTTCACAGGGTTCTACTGCCCTGCAGGGACAGGGCTGGATTGGCAGCCCTGCCCCCCAGGCACCTATGGCCCCACACCCGGGCTAAGCAGCCTGCCAGGGTGCCAAGCCTGTGACGGGGGCAGATTCTGCCCTGGAGCCAATGCTACGGAGGCCAGCGGGCAGTGCTGGGAGGGCTGCTTCTGCTCCAGAGGGTCAACAAGGCCCAACCCGGAGGCCGGCACTGAAGGTACCACACCCTCCTGCAGATACTGAGCCCCTCCCCCATTTCCTGAGGCCCCATTACCGAGAGATGGGGGACAGGTTCAGGAACCCCATCCACTCTCTGGTCAACCCAGAGAGACTGTGGAGTCTGTTCTCTCGGAGACCCCCGGGGTTCCTCGCATGCTCCCAGGCTTCCTTGCGTGGTGGGCAGGACACCGTGGCCTGGCGATGAGCAGTGCTTTGGCTTTTGTCTCCTCCACCCACTGACCATCCTGGGGGAGCCCCCATGTTGCATACAGGGTCTGGCCCAAAGAAGCTCACTTAGGGATCATGGTGTAGCGGTTTTCAACCTCGCTGTTCCTTGGAGTCACCCAGAGGGCTCTGAAATGCACTGGGTGGGGAGCAGGGAACTAGTCATTAAACTGGAATGCCTGAGGTGGCACCCACCTAGAGGCGGCCAATTTGTTCGGCTTCCCAGTGGTTCTCATGTGCCGCCAGGGGATTAATCCAGAGGTTTTCATCTTCCAGAGGTAAAATCCCCTTTAGAATCTATGAACACACCTCCATGACAACACACACAGGGACCCAGGGCTTTCCATGGAGTCCCTGGATGCCTGAATCCAGGGACTGTAGGACAAAATGCTGTGCTCTAGTCTAATCCCTGTCACTGCAGATGAGGAAACTGAGGCCCCAGAAGAGGGATGGCCTTGCCTGAGGACACGCTGTCCGTCTCCAAGCTGGGCGCCCAGGCTGCTGACTCCAGCCCAGCTGTCTGCCATTCTGCAGCTCCCTTGGGCCACAGGAGTCACCCCAGCCTCACGGTGGCCTGGGCACTGACGGGGGAGCTCTGGGGACACTGTCTTGACACACAGCTCATCTCCTTGCTCCCCACCCACCAGCTGTCAGCAGCAGCCTCAAACTGACCTGTTCCCAACCTCTGTCACCGAGTGGCCTCTTGGGACGTGGCCCATGCAGGGCAGGGAGGGGGGTCAAAGAGAGTCACGGCTAGGTACCCCCAGAAACTGTCCTGCTTTGTGAGTGTAACTGGGAAGATGTTAAAACATGAGCCAGCATGGGAGGTCTGCGCAAGCCTCACAGCAGAGCTGGGACGATGGTCATCTACAGAGCCCCTGCCTCGGCCTCAGAAACTGGCAGTACCCCTGGCCCCCAGGGTTTACAATTCTGGGAAGGAGGCCTCAACCCCGCCTGGGTACCTCCTGGGTCAGGAACACTCCCCCCGGTCTCCTCCCATGGGCACCAGCAACAGGGGCAGTGGGTGAATGACTAGACTGCAGAGGGGTGCATTCTGCGGGAGGAACTCCCTCACAGTGTCCTTGGGAATCAGCAGCCTGATCTCGTGGGGCCCACGTCCTGCACCAGGAACGCAGCAGGAGCTGCAGGAGCACCTGCCTCACCCTGCCTAGGCTGGCCCCAGGCTGACCTTGCGTCTTGGTTGCAGAGGAAGCTGGCCCTTGTCCTCCAGGACATTACTGCGCCAGGGGCTCAGCCATGCCCCAGCCCTGCCCACCTGGCACCTTCAGCCCACGGATCAAGCTCAGCTCCGAGGTAGGGAGATCCCAGCCACCGCAGGAAACCAGTGTGGGGAGGGCCCTGTTTGGATGGGTTCTAACTGCACTGCTCCCAAGGTCAAAGGTACAGGGGACTGGGTTACAGGGCCACCTGGCCAGCCACCTCCCTCCTCAGGTCTTACTCAAAAGTCACCTTCCAAGGAGACCTGCTGTGGCTGCCTGAGCACGTAGCACAGTCAGAGACCGTGTTTTACTTGTTGACTATTTTCCGTGTTCCCTACTAAAATCTCAGCACCACAAAGCTAGGGAGCCCTGGCTTTTTGCTGACTCCTCTCCAGTCCAGGCATTGGCTGGACGAATGTGTGACTACGTAAGCTGATGGTAAAAGTGCAGAGGGAGCAGCAAACATGGCCTCGCGGTGGGTGCATGTGGGGGTTGTAGGGAGGGCAGCGCTCTTGGTGAGGCTCGGCGGAGGTACGGGGTGGTGGGCAGAGTGGCAGGAGCGTCCGTGGCATGCTACAGGCAGGGGAGATGTTCTATGATCAGCGGGAGCGGGAGGAGACGGTCTCCAGATTCAAGGCCCCTTTTGATCTTCTGTTCCCACACCAAGCACTCCTGAGACTCCCTCCTTGAGTGGCCCTTTGCCTCCGTGTCCTGGCAGGAGCCGGGGGTTGCACATCCTTAGTGGTGGCATCTCCTGTAGGCTGCCTGCTCCCCGTGTCTGCCCGGCCACTACTGCGGCTCTGCTGGCCTCACCCGCCCCTCTGGGCCCTGTGATGAAGGCTTCTTCTGCCTCCGGGGGGCCCTCGTCCCCAGTGGTTCCCTAGAAGACGAGACCGGTGGCCCGTGCCCCACAGGTACCCTCTCTCTAGGGTGGGAGGAAGCTGCGAAGTGGGGAATGAGAGAGCTGCAAGGCTAAGTGGGAGCTCAGCCCCATTCCCAGCCTCTGCCACCCAGACAGGGCCCAGGGCGCTGAGGAGACCTCCACCTGTCTCCTGGGCCCTGCAGGACCTGGGGTTTAGGGTGGAGCTGTTCTGAGCACAAGGGATTAGGGTTTCCTGCTGACCTGTGTGGTCTGCTTCCCTTTCAGGACACTTCTGCCCCCCTGGGACTGTTGTCTCAAGGCCTTGCCCAGCAGGCACCTACAACACCCTGGCGGCTCAGGGTCGCTGTGCACCGTGTCCTCAGGGGTGAGTGCTGGGAGGCATCCCTGGGGTCTCTGGGTATGTGGTATTCATTCCTGCTGCCGGAGGCACTGGGCCAGGTGCTGGCTAAGATCCCTTTCAACCTGAGCTTTCTGACTTTCAGAAGTCGTGGGGGAATTTCCACAACTTCTACTTCTCTTTGTGTCTTTTGATCTCTTTGTTGGATATCACTGAGTCATTCCGAATTTCAAACCTCGGTCTCTTTTGCTGCAATTTTATCCACTTAGCCTCTGCCTAGCCCCGAATTCCTCAGCTGGTGCATTGCACTGGGCAGAACTGTGCCCCAGCTGAGCCATAACTCCTGAGTTCAGCCATGAAGGATGGCACAGGTGGCTGTGTCCAGCCACACCATACTGCAGTGGCCACCCAGCTCTTTGACCTCCTCCTCTCTCGCCTCTGCAGTTTCTTCTGCCTGGCCAACACCTCCTCTGTGGCTGGAAGTGAGTGTCCTGCTGGCCACTATTGCCCTGCCTCCACCGCCTTCGCTTCTCAGTTTCCCTGCCCCAGGGGCACCTACAAGCCACAGAGAGGGGGTTTCCAGCAGTCAGACTGCATCCCCTGTGAGCCAGGTAAACGCAAAAGCCTTCCCAGCCACACTGGGCCATGCCCTCCCTGGCCAGAGAGTCCCGGGTTCAGGACTGGTTCACGTGGGGACATGTGGGTCACAGCCCAAGATGTACCGTCAGAGATCAGCCCTTGGAGAAGTGGTGTCCCAAGCCCTCAACCCCTAATCCCAGGGGATCCTGTCTTTCCCTCCAGGCTCCTATTGTCTCCTGCCCGGGCTAGTGGCCGTGTCAGGGCCCTGCAGTCCAGGGTTCCACTGTACCCAGGGAGCATCTGTCCCGAATCCCACCGACGGGGTCACTGGAGACCTCTGCCCTCCAGGCCACTTCTGTCCCCAGGGCAGCCCCCAGCCTGCTCCTTGCCCCCCAGGTGAGTCGACAGCGGGATAATGAAGTCTGCTATCTGTCCTCGAGAGGAGATGGCAGCTGGGGCCCTGTCTCAGGGGCCTCCCAGGGAAGGACACAGAAGAAATCCCGCAACTGACCTACAAAGCAGCATCTACCCTCTATACGGCAGCATGGGGCATGGTGGGGGGTGCTATGATGAGTAGGACCAGCTAGAGCTGGGGCCCAGGCTGCCTGCACGGGCCTGAAGCAGGGGGCTGGGGGCTGCAGAGTTGCAGTGAGGAGGGAGAGTGGTGACTGAGCCCAGGACTCGGTGTACTAGGTGGGGAGTCTCAGGGCAGGGAGTCACCCCCCCACCCCCTGGCCCCATGAGACTGAGTGAATGGAGTGCGTGGCTCTGCCATCTAAGATGGGCCACCATGGGTCTCCATCCGGGGTGCCCTCGTGCAGCCACAGCGTGTGGCCCTGCAGGCTCATTCCTGCCCATCCCGGGTGCCACGTCGATGGAGGACTGCCAGCCATGCCCAGTTGGCTGGTTCTGCTCCCAGGCCGGCCTGAGCTCCCCGGAGGCCCTGTGTGATGGAGGCTGGTACTGCCCCAGGGCGTCCATCTCTGGGCACAGTCCAGGTAAGAGCAGACCCTCCTCAACATCCAGAGAGGGGTGAGGGCTGGTGCTGTGGGACCTCCGGTGAGTCGGTTGGGAGGGAGACACGGCCATGGGCTCCCCGTCTGCTCTTAGCTCCTGCTCCTCTGGCTCCCAAGCCTGTGGTAGGAAGGGTGGGAAACACTGTTTTTTCGAGGCTCCTCGTGCACCCAGAGCTCAGCACCCTGATATGAAAGGGGGATGGGAGAATCCTTGTGGGAAGAAATGGAAGAACCAAGAAGGATTTTTTTTTTTTTTTTTTTGAGATGGAGTTTAGCTTCTGTTGCCCAGGCTGGAGTGCAATGGTGCAATCTCTGCTCACTGCAACCTCTGCCTCCCGGGTTCAAGTGATTCTCCTGCCTCAGCCTCCCAAGTAGCTGGGATTACAGGCGCACGCCGCCACGCCTGGCTAGTTTTGTATTTTTAGTAGAGACGGAGTTTCCATGTTGTTCAGGCTGATCTCGAACTTCTGACCTCAGGTGATCTGCCCGCCTCAGCCTCCCAAAGTGCTGGGATTATAGGCGTGAGCTTATGTATAACCGACTTTTTAAAAATCGGTTAAATGTGGAGAATCTCATGCTTTGAGGAAGGAGATAAAGGAACTCTAGGGCCAGGTGAGATTCCTCTAGTGAGACCTGGGGCCAGCACTGAAGGGGAAATGTATGACCCCAGAGACAAGGTGGGTCCGAGCTCTCCTTAGCGGATGCGGCACAATTCTGTCTTCTGGGGCCTGTTGAAAGAAAAACGTGACAAATTATATTTAATGGAGTTTATTTGAACAATGAATCAATAAATCGGGATGCACTCAGACCAGAAGAGGCTCAAAGAGCCCCATTTGACAGCAGGACGGGGAGCTCCTTCAGGCTGAGAATGGAAGCAAGGTAGAGAAATCCTGGGATTGGCCACGGCTTGGCCTTTGCCTTATCTGTGTCTAGTGTGATCAGCTGGCTACCTGTGACTGGCTGAAACCTGGCTTTTGTTACAAAGAATGTACTCCGAAATTAGGTTTCTGCTTGTTTACTTACTATGTGAGGTTGTCCTTTGTTCTGCGGGAGCTGGAAATGCAAGACAGCTTCATGCTACCGGGCTCCTGCTTATTTCACCTCACAGGCTCAGTTCTCTGCCATACCCGGCTGCTTGTAACCAGTTTTGAGGCATGTCAGTGACTAGGATAGAGTACCAGTGATTAGAGTAGGTTTCCTTTTTTTAATCCGCAGGGATTGCAGGTTGGCCCTATCACCACATTAGTCACACAGCAACACACTTTCTTGTGTCAAAGGAAAAAGAGGTGCAGGCACAGCTGGTTCCTGGAGCCCATATGTGGCCCTGAGACCCTTCAGGGTGTGTGTTGTGCATGAAAAGTTTAGCCGCCAAGTGGGGAAACAGGCTGAAGGCTGGCCTAGGCAAGGCCTATGCACCCCATGGGGTAGCTGAGAATACAGTCTTTGCAGACCCATGTGAATGCTCATCAGAGCACCAATCAAACAGGTTTGGAAGGGTGTCAGCGAGCCTCTCCTGGGAATGAGATGGGACGCCTGCAGGGTCCGGGACCAATGTGCATGTGCAGGTGGGGTGGGTAGGAACCCATGATGCACATCAAGGCTCAAGTGAAGCTGCAAATCCAGGCAACTGGGTTTCTTTGGGAGGCCAAGACGGGCAGATCACGAGGTCAGGAGATCGAGACCATCCTGGCTAACACGGTGAAACCCCGTCTCTACTAAAAAAATACAAAAAACTAGCCGGGCGAGGTGGCGGGCGCCTGTAGTCCCAGCTACTCGGGAGGCTGAGGCAGGAGAATGGCGTAAGCCTGGGAGGCGGAGCTTGCAGTGAGCTGAGATCCGGCCACTGCACTCCAGCCTGGGCGGCAGAGCAAGACTCCGTCTCAAAAAAAAAAAAGATTAAATCTGTGCAAGCCAAACCAGCCTGTGGATGACTCAGGGGCGCCCTCCACCCTAACGCAGTTTTGCCATGATATTCACAGAGAACCAGCTGCATGCCAGACACTCTGCAGAGATTCGAGAGGATCCCACCCCCCAACCCCGCCCCGGTCTCCTTGAATTTGAGGGTCTGGTGGGAGGGGCGCTTGGCCTCAGGCTGGCCTCCTGAGGGAAGGCTTCACCTGGTGCTGTGGGCCTCCCCAGGAAGGCCCTAAGGAGGGTCCCCTATTGCCCCACTTGGAAGCTCTGGCCTCAGCATGGACACAGCCTGGCTCCAAAGCACAGCCCAGCTAGGCCAAGATCTCCAAAAGAACGTGGTGAAATCTCCCAGGAAACAGCGAAGTGTAAAAAGGGCTCTATCCTCATGACTATGGGCGCGGTGTGCAGGAGCCCAGCACACCCGTTCCTGAGGTAGTTCCACTGTGAAGGCAGCAGCGCCTCTCCAGCAAAGGGCTCATGGTAAAGCCAGGTGCTGGGGCTCGGGCTGCATCCTCCCTGCCTGCCTCTGCTCAGTGTGAGGAAGGTCCTGAGGCTCCCAGAAGCTCATTCCAGAGCCCAAACTTACATGCATGCTTTTTGAGAAATACCTCACAGGACTGAGACCCCTGGGAACACATTAGATGAGAGATACCTGGCCCCAGAGGCTGAGGCTGCCTCGTGGTCCCCTGCACAATCCCTAGTCCCTGTCACTACGAACCTGGGTCCTTCACACCAAAGCTGCACGACATTCTTCTAGACACTTCTAAGAATGTAAGCTGCGGCCGGGCGCGGTGGCTCACGCCTGTAATCCCTGCACTTTGGGAGGCCGAGGCGGGTGGATCACGAGGTCAGGAGATCGAGACCATCCTGGCTAACACGGTGAAATCCCGTCTCTACTAAAATACAAAAAATTAGCCGGGCGTGGTGGCGGGCGCCTGTAGTCCCAGCTACTCGGGAGGCTGAGGCAGGAGAATGGCGCGAACCTGGGAGGCCGAGCTTGCAGTGAGCCGAGATCACGCCACTGCACTCCAGCCTGGGCGACAGAGTGAGACTCCGCCTCAAAAAAAAAAAAAAAAAAAAAGAGAATGTAAGCTGCCTGGAGATGCCTCCTCTCCAGGTGGGCCACAGGACTAAGGAGGTAGGGAAACCCCCAACAGGAATGTCCTTTTCCTTTGCTTTTCTAGATGCTGTCTGCCCCACTGGGCACTCGTGCCCCCAGGCAGCCTGGAGCCTCGCCCCTGCCCTCCCGGGCAGTATCAGGATGAGCCTGGATGCAGCATCTGCAAGACCTGCCCTGCTGGGAAGTGAGTCACTGGCACCTGGGCTGGGGCCCCTCCTTTCTGTCCAGTGACACCTGACTTTCCCTACCCTCCCTGAGACCAGAAAGGTCTCAGACATATCAGGGGACCCTTCTGGACAGTGACCACAGCCCTGCTACCCCCCAGTTGCCCTGCAGTGCACAGTATAATAAAGACTCTGGCACCAATACGGGGCCTGGGAGGGTTGCGGGTTCATGTAGAGGACTCAGCAAAACACAAGAGGTCATTGACCACTTACTCTCCATCTCCTCTCGCTTCAGATGGTCCCACGAGGATCTTGTTCTGCCCAAATCCTCCAGGTCCTGGAAGCTTCTTGCCACGGGAGGAGCCTGGCTTCCTAGAAAAACTGAGAAAGCCTGGGGATGTCGGAGGCCTCCCCTCCCTCATTCCTGATCACACACCTGCTGCATCCACAGGTTCTGTCCCTTGGGGACCCAGGGGCCAGAGGCCAAGCCCATTTGGCCAATGGACTGTCCTGCCGGCTACTACTGCCCTCTGGGTACCCAGACCCCCACCCAGCACCCATGTCCCAGGGGCACCTTCCGAGAGAGGCCTGGGGCACGCAGCGCCAAGGATTGTAGACCCTGTCCTCCAGGACAATTCTGCTCTGATTCAGGTGACGAGAGCTGTTTCTCTGGTACTTTGCCATGTGTCTCAGAGGGCCTTCACCTGCCTATGGGCAAACATCCTAGTTGCGTGAGGCCTAGAAGGGTGAGGGAGGGGAGAAGCCAGGAAAGCTCGAAGTGGGAGGAAGATGGGAAGAGGCAGACAAAAGCATCAGTGGCCGGCCCAGGAGCACACTGAGTTCTAGCAAATGCTCTCATAGCGGCAGACCAGGTGCTATGGGTGTCCTAGGAAAGGGGATTTCCATCCCATAAGGGAGGGCGGGGGCCTAGGGAGCCTAGCTGGAGCTCTTGCTCTGGGCTTGAAGTACCCTAGGACTTAGGGAGGCAGGAACTAGAGGAAGAAAAAGGGCAAGGCCACATCCAAGCCAAGACCAAAAGGAGACAGGAGTTGCAAGCTTGTGCAGGAAGCAGTGGGAGGCAGGACCGCAGAGGACCTTATTTGTCCTCACACATGGCTACTATCTCACAGATGAAAAGCCTGAGCTCAGGGAGGCCCTGAGCAACCAAGCCATATAGGTTGTGCGCAACAGAGTCACGGTGGGCCACAGAGCCAGGTGCGGCCTTGGAGCCAGGAGGGACTGTGGAGTCCTTGAAAGCAGCCTCCTGCCCGGAGCTCTGAGGCCCGCTGTACCACCAAACGCAGACTCAGCCCTGGGCGCTCTTTCCTTCTCTGAAGCCTAGCTCACTGTTCTGCATGGAGCCTGTCTACATCCTCTCTCCACAGGGGCTGGGAAGCGCCTCCCGGATGGGCCATGCTCAGCCGGCTATTACTGTCCCCTTGGCCAGACCTCAGCCACCCCTACGTCTTTCCGGTGCCCACAGGGTTTCTACTGTCCTGAGGGATCACCCCAGCCAAGGGCCTGTGAGATTGGAACCTTCTAGTCCCAGGAGGCCCAGAGCTCCTGTGAGCCCTGCCCTTTGGGATTCTACCGCAAAGCCTCCCGCCCAGGTGGGTTCATCGGGGCTGGCATGAGGCCCCTTCTGGGCACTGGTCCCAGGGCACAGCGTCAGCTCAGGAGCACCCAGCCCTTCCTGAGCCCTTGCAGAAGCAGTGCCCGTGCTCATCTGTGATGTGAGATGGGAAGATGGCACCTCCTGCGTTACTCAAACAGGGAGAGTGTGACCTGCGGTAGCTCAGGCCCACTTGGGAGCCTTGTGTCCTCAATTGCCTGCGCCTACTTTGATGTGGCTGTAGATGTATCTGGGGAATCCTTCTTACATCAGAAGCTTGGTGGTCATAGTGCCACAGGTCAGCGTAATGTTCCACATGCATTGCTTGAGCAAATAACAGCAGGTCGGGGAAGGGTACCCTCAAACAAGCAGGTTGGAGGGAAGAGCATGTTGGGGATTTATACTAGGATGGGGTGTTCCACGGTGACTGCCTCCACACCACCAGGACTGCCTCATGCCCAGCTCAGCTCTGGGCACAGTGAGGACGTGGGTGCAGGCCAGGGTAGTCTGAGATCCAGGCCCCTAGGACCTAGCAGGCCATGGTCTTACTCAGTGTCCTCAAGGCATGCACAGCACACACGAGCTCAAGACAGCCTGAGTAGGTGGGGGAGAGTCCACAGCGGCTGAGCTGGCATCGAGGGGTAGCCTGGTGGCCAGCTAGGGTGACTGCCCCAATTCTAGATAAAGGGAGCTTTACAGTCAATGGCCAGGGCCCCTGGATGGAACTTTCTTGGGCCATGCACCATCTCTGCAGATGGTCAGCACACCCAGAAATCAGACAAAGAATAAGGACATTGTACGTGTTGGCCGTGGTGGATAGGGAACGGTAGGCTGGGCCCTCGAAGGTCTAGAGCCGGGGAGTGCAGGTCTGCCCGGGACTCTCAGAGGGTGGGGATCCATCTCAAGTCAGGCCAACCTTACCATTGCCCCACAGACCCTGCAGCCCACGGCCCCAGCCAGTGTCTCAGGGGCTACTTCTGTTCCTCAGGATCCCGCTCAGCCACAGCCCACCCATGCCCTCGGGGGACATTTGGGCCCAGGCGAGGAGCCACTACAGAGCTGGACTGTGAGCGCTGCCCAGCAGGTTCGTGACTCTGGACCGTGGGCCCTCAGGGAGCCTAGGTGGAGGGCAGGGTGAGAATGAGGCAACGTGGGAGGAGGTGAGCAAACAAGTCCGCCAGGGATGGGGCCTTGGCACCTGGCCCTGCCTGCTCTGTGAGCTGCTGGGTCCAGGAACACCAGGCAGGTCCCCACATGTGGGCGGGTCCCCTCAACTTCTCAATGAGCCCATAGCACCCATTGTACTGTCCCTGGGATTCTCACAGCATCCTCACCCTCATTCCCTGTACCCTGGCCTGCCCCACATTCACCTCTAGGACTCAGGACATTACCAACCCATGCTCCCCACAGAGACCAGGTGCTGCTAGAAAGAGAGGCCTGCCCCGGGGTACAGCTCCACATCTCTCTGGCTGCCCTCACTCTGCCAGCCACCACACCTGCTGCTTGCCTGAGCCTGGGGAGGGAGGGGCAGTGGGGCAAGGCCCGAGACAGGCAGGGTGGCTGCCAAAGCAGCAGACATCCCTCTGCCACCTGTTTCTCCTTGAATCTGCCATTTCCAGGGATGTTCTGTTCATCGGAAGGGCTACCCCAGCCCTCGGGGCTCTGCCATTCTGCCCACTACTGCACGGGGGGGGCTGTGTCCCCCACCCCCATCAAACACAAGGTAGGTATTGCTAGGCCCTGGCACCCCAGATGGGTGTCAGGACCACCCTGGAACACCCAGATGTGTATTGACTCAGAACCATGAGGCTGACCAGGGGCTCCTCCCAGCAGGGCTGAAGCTCCCTGAGGGCAGGACCCTCCTCACCTTCTTGTCTCCATGGCCCTGCACAGGGCCCAGGAATAGCACATTTCCTTGGTTCTAATATATGCATCTTGTTCACACTTAACAGCCCTAAACTCAGCAGCATCTTACAATTGATGGTATCTGACCATCGAGGCTAGCAGGGATTTATTTCTTTTAAATGGTCTGTGAGATAACGGTTTGTCTTCCAGCCATTGTCATCTTGGGTTTGACGCGCGAAGTGTTCACTCTGCATGTCCGTGGGAATTTAGGAGTCCTCACAGCTGGGACAAGGCTGCAGAGTCACCCCATCTTAGATATGAGGAGACCCGGAGCATGGGGTCATCGGCTTGCTCAAGGCCGTGTGGGGCGTTTTCCTGGGTCGTGCAGCTTCTCTGCGGATGGTCAGCATGCCCAGAAATCAAAGAACAAGGCACCTTGTCTTGTGGGGGGCGGTTAGGGAGGGGGAGGCTGGAACCTCGAAGGTTCAGAGCCTGGGAGTCTGTGTCCTGTGTGCAGGATGACCTGCCCCACCCGCTCCAGGGCCCTGAGAACAGAGCCAGTTTAGAGATGGGAGCCATCCTTGTTCCAGGAAATGCCAGAGGCATCTGTGTGTTGAATCATCATATCCTAGAGTAGTGGAGAGTAGCTGGGAGGATGAACATACAGACAAGGGCTAGGCAGATGGATGGAGAGACACTGGCCAGTGTTTGTTGATTGACTGACTCTCATCTTGTTACTGACTTGCTCTGTGACCTGAGGCAGGCATGGCCCTTTCCCCTCTGGGCCCAGCCTCCCTTTAGACTGCTCTTTCTTCTGAGAATTCCATATCAATGCCACAGAGGAGAGAAAAAGCCAGGAGATGACGGAAGGAGGGAAAGGAGGTCGCTGAGTCAGCATTAGGATTTCAGAAGCCAAAGCCCTCCCATGGGGTCCTCCCAGCTCATCCTCCACAGGCCTCACAGACACAGCCAAAACACACATTAGTGAGGTGGTTTTACATGTACTATTTTCCTTTAGAGACAGGGTCTCACTGTGTTGCCCAGGCTGAAGTGCAGTGGCACAATCACAGCTTACCACAGCCTCGACCTCCTGGGCTCAAGCAATCCTTCTGCCTCAGCCTCCCAAGTAACAGAATACAGGCATGCGCCGTCACACTCAGCTAACTTTTGTAACTTTTTTTTTTTTTTTTTTTGAGACTGAGTGTCACTCTGTCGCCCATGCTGGAGTGCAGTGGCGCGATCTTGGCGCATTGAAAGCTCCGCCTCCCGGGTTCACGCCATTCTCCTGCCTCGGCCTCCTGCTGGGACTACAGGCGCCCGCCACCACGCCCAGCTAATTTTGTGTGTGTATGTGTGTATTTTTAGTAGAGACGGAGTTTCATCATGTTAACCAGGATGGTCTCGATCTCCTGAACTCGTGATCCACCTGCCTCAGCCTCCCAAAGGGCTGGGATTACAGGCGTGAGCCACCACGCCCAGCCTTGTTTTTTAAACTTTAAGTTCTAGGGTACGTGTGCACAACGTGCAGGTTTGTTACATATGTATACGTGTACCATGTTGGTGTGCTGCACCCATCAACTCGTCATTTACATTAGGTATTTCTCCTAATGCTATCCCTCCCCCAGCCCCCACTCCCCAATAGGCCCTGGTGTGTGATGTTCCCCTCCCTGTATCCATGTGTTCTTGTTGTTCAGCTCCCACCTATGAGTGAGAACATGTGGTGTTTGGTTTTCTGTCCTCGTGATAGTTTGCTGAGAATGATGCTTTCCTGCTCCATCCATGTCCCTGCAAAGGACACAAACTCATCCTTTTTTATAGCTGCATAGTATTCCATGGTGTATATATGCCATCTTTTCTTAATTCAGTCTATCATTGATGGACATTTGGGTTGGTTCCAAGTCTTTGCTATTGTGAATAGTGTCACAATAAACATACATGTGCTTGTGTCTTTAGAGTAGCATGATTTATCATCCTTAGGGTATATACCCAGTAATGGGATGGCTGGGTCAAATAGTATTTTTAGTTCTAGATCCTTCAGGAATTCCCACTGTCTTCCACAATGGTTGAAACCCAGCTAGCCTTTTTATTTCCTGAAGAGACTAAATCTCTTCAGGAAATAAGAGTGTTGCCCAGGCTGTTCTCAAAACGCTTGGCTCAAGAGATTCTTCTGCCTCAGCCTCCCAAAGTACAGGGGTTACAGATGTGAGCCACCACACCCAGCCTACATGTAATCTTAATTGCAATGTAGCATCCAAATAGATGCTGGTCCCAGTTTCTCCTTTAGGTCCCACGCCTAGTATATGCAGCAGAGACAGGGGCCCTGATTGAAGTCTTTTCTTGCTTCTCTCCTGCACAGGTGGACGCCCCAGGACTCTCTGGGAATGACATCTGCCCCCCTGGCTTCTTCTGCCCTAAAGGAACAAGCTCTCCAGTGCCTTGTCCTCCTGGGTTTTACTCCTCTGTTCCAGGCCTGGGCAGCAAGGACCAGTGCCAACCGTGTCCCCCAGGGCGCTACTGCAGCCGGCCGGGGCTGACCAGCACCCTGGAGGCAGGGCTTTGCGATGCAGGGTAAGGGGGTGCTGGTCCTGAGCTCCTCAGGAAGAGGAGGCGGGAGGGTCCCCAGCACAGGCCAGAGCCTGCCAGGGCCTCCAGGTCACAAACACGTCCTAAATTCCCGTGGTCTCTCCGTAGCCCGTCTGGGGAGCACAGGCCAGGTGACTCTCTCGCTGCTTGCAGGCCTCAGACGTTCCATCCCCGGACACAGGGTTGAACAGGACACACCCTCACAGGCTGCCCAGCACTGACCTGCGGTCCAAGGAGCCCTGGGTGTGCTGGAACAGCCCTAAGGTCTCCCTCCTCCTCAGGGCGCCTGCACTCCCTCCACATCCCCTGCTAGGCCTTGGTCTTCACCCCGTTGGCCAACATCCTCTGCCAACATCCATCCAAGACTCCCAATAAGTACATTTTCCCTCGTTGTCCAGAGGGCTGGAGACTAGCCATGACCACCAGAGGCTCCAGTCGGATCCTGTGTGCCGGACGACCTGCCTCATCTGCTCAGGGGTCCTGAGAACAGAGACAGTTTGGAGACGGGAGCCGTCCTTATTCTGGGAAATGCCAGACATTGTCCAGGACTGTTTTCCTGAGGCCCCTACTACTTAGCTTCCCATGGAAAGAAGCACGTTTTAAGGGACAGAAGCATGTTTTAAGGTTGATGAATCAGAGAATTCCTGCTGCATTTGCAGCGCCCTCTGGTCCTAGGGATGGCCCAGCTCAGCCGCTGACCCTCGGCTGTGGCCTCACTTGCTGTCCCCGCAGCACAGCCTGATATTCAGGGCTCCAAACAGCCCGGCCAGCAGCTGAGGGAGTTCAGCCACAGTTCTGTCTCCCCCAGGTACATCTGCCGAGAGGGCAGCGCTGTCCCCTCACCCTCCGATGGAACCCATGGATACACATGTCCCCCTGGCTTCCGTTGTCCCCCAGGGGCCCACAGGGAGCTGCCATGTGAGCCTGGCACCTTCAGCCCTCTGCCCGAGGCTGCCACCTGCCTGCCCTGCCCAGAGGGCACCTACTGCCACCAGGCTGCCGCCGTGGAGCCCACCATCTGCCCCAAAGGTAACATCCTCAGGCCACCTTGCCCTGGCTCTCCAGGGCGAAGAACATTGGCATCTCGCACCCCCAGCTCCCTGAGCTCAGGTCTGTCCAGAGTGCCATGCTGGGTGTTGTGTCGCCTCACCCTGTGCTGCCCCTGCTGACTCACCTATGAAATGGGCTTATCATGTGACAGAGGGAGGTCGTCGGGAGAAGGGTGTTGGGGGGCCACAATGCCTGGGGACTTGTCAGCCCCTGCCCTACACAGTCTGTGACGGGCACTGCTCAGCTGTCCCCGGCGTGTGGCTGTGCAGGGGTAAGGAAGGAACACACGGGACACGGTCAGGCAGCCTCCTGAACTGTACTCTCCTGTTCTGAGAGGCTGGGTGTTGGGGTCGGCGCCTCCCTGACTGGAAGGCACTGCACCCCTGGGCAGACCAAATCCATCTGCAAATGGGACCATGGTGCCTGGTGCCTGTGGGAGCCCCATCCCAGCAGGAACATCCCCAGAGGGGACTGTGGCGGATCTGGTTTGAGACTCCAGGTCACCTCTGGGGCACCTGGTGGTGCCTGTGGGGCTCCAGGGCAGTGCAGGGGTGACAGGGACACATGGCCTCATTTTCTCCAGGTCAAGAAGCTGTTTCCCTCTCAGCCCTGCAGAGCCAGACCACACCTGCCCTGGGCCCACCTCTCCCTAAGGAACAGCCTGTGCACACACAGACACAAACATGTGCTCATGTGCACACACTCATGTACGCAGGCATGCTCACACACATTCACATTTCTCAAACTCACTGTGACGTCCACTTCACTCACACCATTACACGCACACCCCGTCACACTCACACTCACACACACACTCCACTCACATTTGCTCACATTCCACTCACACTTGCTCACACACACACTCACTGTCACACCCACACCTCAGCTGCCCCGACACAGACTCCACCCCACTGGCCCGGATTCTGGATCAGCATCCCCTTCAGGCCCTCTGGCTGTGGCCTCTGCACCCTCAGGGCTGCACTAATTTCTCTTCCATAAAGGATGGGAGGCTGTAGAGTGCCAGGCAGCCATGGGATTGGGACTTTGGCGCTCACCCTGGTCTTTTCTGCAGGTCACTATTGCCCAGCCAGGACATCCTCTGCCCGCCCCTGCCCGGAGGGAACCCTGAGCTGGTGGGAGGGTGCTGTATCCCCTGGGGCCTGCCAGCCCTGCCCTGCAGGGACGTACTGCCTGGGAGAGGGCAATGGGCGGCCTGAGGGTAGGTACCCATGCCCACACAGAGTGTGTCCTGGGAACTGACCGGGTAGCCAGGGGACTGGCCCCATGGCATAGCCTGCTAGCTGAGGCGAGAATAGGACCATCGGGACTCCTGCGGGAGGTGGCTTGGTGCTGCAAAGACTAGTGAGGTGTCAGGAACAGAGAGCAGGCTTGCAGCATCACACAGAACTCAAAACCAATGCCCTGAATCCTTGCTTCAGGGTCTCAGGGGTCCCGAATGTCCAGCTCCTCCACAGGGCTGCAGCACAGGCCTGCGGCTGGCCCACCCACCCCATCATGCCACTTCCTGCTCCTCCCCTAAGAGGTCTCAGCCTCACAGCCAAGAGCAGGGCCACTGAGCCACGCCAGCCTCACTCGGAGCTTAGTGTTGGTGTGATGCTAGATGAAGCCCTTGCTCTCTTGGGCCTCGGTCTCCTGCCTGTGAACTGAGCTGACAGTAGCACTCACCTCCTGCAGCTACTGTGTAGAGTGAGGTCATTGCGGTCAGGAGCTCAGACTGGCACTGTGTAGAGTGAACTCATTGCTGTCAGGAGCTCGGACTGGCTTGGACAGTGCCCACCGCTGTCACCCCCAGTTGTCACTCCTCACACTGCTGGCCTCCTTGCCAACACCGATGCCAGAGCTGTGTGGACACCGCCAGCTGCAGGCTGTGGGCACCGGGCCCCAGACACCGAGGCGGCTCTGCAGCTCCTTGCTTCGCCTTTGCTTTCTTCCTTAGTTTCTGTGCCTCTCCAGGTTTAGGGACAGCAACCAGAGGCAGGGACTCACTGCAGGGGCAAGACCTGGGCCTCCCACAGTCAGGCAGGTTCCAATACAAGCTGGGGAGACTTCTGCCCTGAAATCCCTGTATACACCCCTCTGTATCCAAGGGCCCTGCTCAGCTGGTTACTACTGCGAGGGGGGCTCTGCCAGCCCCACGCCCCAGAGAAGGTCCTTTTCCCTCAACGGACCCTGCCCCGGAGGCCACTACTGCCCACAGGGGACGCTGCTCCCGGTTCCATGCCCCGTGGGGACAAGGAGCAGCCCAGGTGAGCGTCTGTCCTGGGCCCAAACTCCCCGCCCAGCCACGTGTCCCCAGTGTGGTGTTCAGAGCTTTGTCCCTGACTGGACCCATCGACACAAACAGTGCAACCGGGACCCCCTGTGGCTGTGTTCCCCAGGGGACACTCAGGCTGAGCTGTGGAGAGGAGACCTCTGCCCCAGGACAGGGCCACTGCTCTGCCTACAGCCTGTACCCTGGACCCGCAGTGCCTTCTGTTCTAGCTCCAGGGCACAGCAGTGAGGCCGCAGGGAAGATGGGCGTGTCCCTCTGGGGTTGCAATTCCAGACAGACACAGAGCCCATGAACTGCCGCCACCCCCATCCAGGCGCCACCTCCCAGGGCAGCTGTGAGCCCTGCCCCGCTGGCTCCTTCTGCCCAAGGCTGGGCCTCAACTCGTCCACTGGGTCCTGTGAGACTGACTCTGAGTGCCCCTCGGACCCCGGGGCCTACAGCCCGAAGGCTCTCCCCTGCCCTCAGGTACCTCCCGGGGGGTTAGGAGGGAGCTCAGTCCCCAGGGCCCTGAGAGGCTGGGAGTCCAGCCACGGACTTGAGGCTGGAGCTCAGCTTCCCAACTGTGGGCATCAGACCAGCCCTCAGTGCCTCGAGGGAGGGACTCCAACACCCCCATCTCCCATTCCCCATCCTTTCCCCACTGCCCCACCCGACCTCCAGGCCACCTGCCCCTCCATTCCCTGAGACCTGAACCAGCAGGAAGGAAGGACGCTGCACTGACCATCTCAGCGGCTGGCACCCTGACCATATCCATCCTTGGCCTCAGAGATGCCACTTTGTGTCCAATGCTCAGGGTCACTTCTGCCAGCCAGGGACTGCCTGGCCTGCCCTGTGCCACCGAGGGCACTACCAGCCCTCCTTGGGCTCGGATGCCTGCCTACCGTGTCCACCAGGCTTTTACTGCCCACATCCCGGCACCAGCATGCCCAGGCTCTGCCCAGCACATGCCTACTGCCCGGTTGGTATGTCAGGAGCCCTCAACTCCACACATGTCCCAGGCCCTCTTCCTCCTCCCCAACACCCCTGCCTGCCTACCTTTCATTCATTTATATATGCCCTATGGATTGCCTACTGTGTGCCAGGCATGAGCTCACAACAGGACTACCAGAGGTGAAAATGTACCCCCCTCCAGCCTCCCCTCACCTCTGCCCAAGCCTCCCCGCTCCCCCCAACCCTGTTGCTCTTCGTCTCTTCATCTGAGTTTGTCGAAGTGCCCTGCACACACTGTGCATGAGCCACAATCACACATGCTCACACATACATGTGCACACACACACACCTTTACGCACATGCGCACATTCACACACACAGATGCGGTCCCTAGGCAGCGCAACAGACAAATAGGTGTCCACAGAGTTCATAATGCATGTCATATCTTAGGCAAACCTAGGGAGAAATCCTCTTGCTGGTTGCACATAGCCTTTGTGAGCATTTGATCTGTGGGTGACGTACACACGTGCTCCCCCCATGACCATGGTGTTAGAGGTACACATGCCCCTTTCAACGGAGGCTTTTACCCCAGATTGTGTAGAACATCCGAAGTTCAAGGAAGCTGGTTCATTGTCACCAAGACTCCCTGTTTTACTAGTCAACCCTGCTACTATACACATGAACCCAGTGAACAGTTGGGAAAAGGGGGTGGCCCTGTTGGGGAAGTGGGGACTCCCTCACTCCCCTAACTCCACATTCCCCTTCCAGCTTCTTACCTCCTTTGCTGGTCAGATTTTTTTTTCAGTAGATCAAGCTGTGCCATTTAAAGCTTTTTCCCTGTCAGGGGCTTTCTTCTCTGATTTCCCGGCAGTGTGTACTTAGTGTGCACAGCCAGCCCCATGCACGGAGACAATGCTGAGGCTAACAAAGCCCGGCTCCCAAGGAACAGAGCCGCAGATGTGACCCGCGGGCTGGGTGGAGCTGTGGGAGGAGCAGGGCGTGGCACAGGCACATCCCTCCCTCCAGGTCCCAGGGCAGGCCCGAAGGAGGACGAGTAGGGCTAAAGGCAGCTCCCAAGAGAGACCCACTTACATGAGGTCCTACTGGCAAGGCTCCACCCCATCCCAGAGAGCCCACAGGGGTCCAGTGCACAGTAAGCGCCTTACTGAACCTCTGGCTAGATGCAGGGCCCCTCACTCCAAAGCAGCTTTGCTGCTGTTTGAAAATCCTCTACTAGGACGACCCTTCTGTGGTAGGCACGATTTTGTCCTTTTCCACTTTGTAAAGGACAGTTATCCCCGGGGGGAGAGACCGAAGTTGCCTGGCAGTGATTTCATTCATATCATTGGCCCTGAGAAAGCAGCGTAAAAATCCAGCACCTCCTGGGGCAGCGAGATGCTGGGGACAGTGGGGGTCCGTCGCGGGTCAGACCACGGGTGGAGGTCGCCGGTCCACAGCACTGATGTGACCTGAGCCCCCGGAGTCCATCTTCACTCAATGTGTCCCCCTTCTCCAGGGACATGGTCTCCACCACGGTGTCCTCCAGGGACCTTCACTCTCCAGGATGTATCAGGCCTCCGGGAAGAGAGTGACTGTTCCGTCTGTCCCCCGGGTCACTACTGCAGGTCAGTCACTGCCCAGAGCCATCCACCTCCTGCCACCCAGTCAGACTGCAGTGGCTCGCAGGCCCCAGCCTGCTCTGCTCGTCCTGACCCGTGGCCTTGCACTGTGGGTGGGAGAGCAGGCTGGCTGCCCTAATTCAGGTGCGGGGGCCTGGGGGTGAGATCACAGCCCTGCCTGGCCACCCAGGCCTGAGCGGGGAGAGAAAACCAGACTCTCAGGTAAAGGAGAGAGAGAACAATTAGCACAGGACTGGATTTTTAAAAAAATTTAAAGCAAAATGCATTCAAAATGCATTCAAAAAAGGGGGGATCAGCATAAGGTGGAAAACTTCTGCTCAGTTCTTGCCTTAACTTGGGGAAGCTCCTTGCAGGCAAAATTCTTGCCTCCAGGGGACACTGGTGTGCAGCATGCACGTTCAGGAGAAACACGGACAGTTCTTCCTTCTCTTACTTCCACATTGTCTTCCATATGAAAAGCACTTGTAATCGGTCAGTCTGGGAGAAACGATAAATGGTACCTTTGAACAGGACGATCTGACACTAGGCCTGAGGGCACCAAATTCCGCCTGAACATCCTATGTCCATTTGGTGTGGTCTGGCTTCCGCATCTGGATGGCAGGGACATTCTCCTGGAGTGTAGAAGTCACTGGAGAACTCTGGACCTGGGTCAGAGACTGACAGCTTCTAGGGCTGGATGGGGGGTGGGGGTGGTCCCCGACTCTCAAAGTGACCCTGGGCCCACACCCAGAGGGAGCCACAGCACGGGGGTCTCTGGTCTAGGAAAGTCCCCAGCACTTGCTGAAGGCAAACACCTGCAACTCCAGAGATGGTGTCCGGCTCATCCGCAGAACAGTTGCTTGGTATTTCATGCAGAAGTGAACCTGCTGCGAAGCAGATTTTTTTCTGCTTAGAAGAGGATAGCAGAAGATTCCTCAGGCTCTGTCTAGAGGCTGGTGTCCCTTGGCTCAGGAAGTTCATCCCTAGGTCTAGCCTGCTCTCTCCTGCTGCAGAGCTGGAGATCAGACTCAGGTTACCTTGGAGCCTAGGACTAAGCCCTTGGGGACCCAGCAGGCCCCAGACATCACAGGTACAGTGCGGGAAGCAGGTGCAGCACCTGCTGGTGCCCTCTGTCCCCATTTTTACTGCAAATCTAGCAAGGCCATTGAGCTCTCGAGGAGGAGAGGTTTGTCCGCTGTTGGCAGCCCTGAGTCCTGCTCCTGGTCCACTGAGCTCCATATACTCCAAGGTGGAAAGATGTGCGGGAAGCTGCCGCTTGCTGGTGGAAGAACACAATGGGAGCTATGAGCCTTGTGCTGGGCCCGGGCCAGGGGTCAGCCTCCCGGCCCCGCTGTGCTGCGTGCACCTCGCCTTGTCTCTGTGGTATATCCAGGCTGTTCGTCTAAGGGAAGAGGCTGAGCCACAAAATATAATTTACAGAGTTTACTTGAGCCAAAGTGAGGATAGCTGCCCAGAAGACTCAGACCCAGGTAGCCTTGGATCTGAGCTCTACTGGCCTTTGTAACAAGCGGGCATTTAAAGGCAAAAAGGGGGATGCTGGGAGAGGGCTGGTACAAAGTTGTTTGTCAGGAATTCTCGCTGGTTTACAGAAGAAACAGTAGTGATTGGCTAGACGTTGTTAAGCTATAGAGCATGGGTTATAGTGTCTGGCGAGGCTTTAGTAGGTTAGGTTTCAGCTGCTCGTGGCAATAGCAGGCAGTTTCAAGAGATGAATACACAGCTCAAACGGGGAGTCGACGGGATTGCTGTCTCATTTTAATGCCTCTCTGGGCCTGATCATTTGAAAGGGCTCACATTTCTCAGATAAAAGTTCTTTTCTTTTCTCAGGGCCCAATTCAAAGTTCTCTTGGGGCACAGGCAAAAGCACGTCTCCCTGTGGGCACAGAGAAAACTGAAACCCGAGTCGGGTGGGGCTTCCCCCAGCCCAGGGCCCAGGCTCCGGGACTCAGATGGGCCCCTCCTTCCCGGCTTCTCACTCTACTCCCTCTCCTGGACTATTAGAGGTGGACAGGTGTTGGGAAAATGTCCTGCTGGTTACTTCTGCCCACCGGGGGCCTCTGAAGTGAGAACGTCAGGTCCCAGGCAGCCCCAGACACCGTGTCCCCAGAGACAGCTGTGCGCGGAGCAGTGTCCGCCAGGTAACCACCCTCACATCTCGCCTGTGGGTGTGAAAGAAGCACAGGACCACTTGCGCATGGAGTTCTTTAATGGCCACTGACAGACTAAAAACAGGTCACCCCCGTCCTCCTACATTTAACATGTGTGTGCACGTAACATGAATCCGCTCCCAATGCCATTCAGATGGTGGCTGATTTGACAAACATAAAAAGCAAGTGCACCGGGACAAATGCCCAACACTCAACTCCTGGACAGCACAACCCCAGGCTGCCCTGGACAGGGTTCCCCACAGTCCTGCCACTGTCCCCTGCCTGCCTTCACGGGAGCCAGCATCACCCCTTTGTTCTCCAGGATTTTACTGCCCTGAGGGCAGTGGAGAGCCCATTCCTTGTCCACCTCACACACTGGTGGCTGACCCTGGAGCCAAGCAGAAAGAGGACTGTGGGCCTTGCCCCCCTGGGCACTGGTGCAAAGCAGGTGAGGTGGGGGATGGTGGGACCTGTGGCACAGCCTGGAATGTGCTGCTTCCTGAGGGAGGCCTGGGGCAGCCAAATCTGGGGAGAAAAGTGAGGGCAGCCCTTGCTCTGCAGGCACCCTGGCCACTCAGGCCTGCCCCTCTGGCCACTACTGTCCTGGAGGAAGTGAGACCCACCTGGGGGCCCCCCAGGCCTGCCCTGAGCATACCTACCTGGCAGCTGAAGGAGGCCAGAGTCAGGCGGAGTGCCTTCCCTGCCCCGCCGGGTACCACTGCCCGTGGCCAGGTAAGAGCCTGTCTGCAGGCTGGATGTGCGGGCCTTGGGAAGGAGAGGGAAGAGGCTGTCAGGAGCCCCTCGGGCAACTCTTCTTAGCCTAATGCTTTTGCCCCCAGGTCTCTCTTCCTTTGAAGATCACCCATGTCCTCCTGGCCACTGGTGTCCAGGTGACCAGGGTGCCTTTCTCTGCCCACCTGGCACCTTTCGGTCAGAGCCGGGGGCATCAGCACAGGAAGACTGTGAACTCTGCCCTCCCGGCTACCGCTGCCCAGACCCTGAGCTTCAGGCCCGTGCAAATGTGTTTCCCATCCCCTGCCGAGCCGGATCTGAGTGCCCAGCAGGTGAGGCTGCAGGATGACCCCAGCCCCTTCCCATCCCTGCCCTCATCCCTGAGGCTCAGGCCTGGGCTCCTCAGGAAGCCCTGATTGAGCTCAGGCCACAGATGTGGCACAGCCACACCTGACCAGCCCCTACAAGGCCCACCCAGTCTCTGGTGGCATCCACACCACCTGGATGTCCCCAGACCAAGGTGCCTTCAAGCCACCTCTTCCTCCCCATCTGGGTCAAGAAGGAGGCCGGCCAGAGGTTTAACTAGAAATAGCATGCCCAGTACAAAGTGTCCAGTACTGGCCACAGCTGAAGGCACAACCCAAAGCACCCTCCTGTTGGCCGCCCTCAGATGAGCTGTGGCCTCAGTGTCACTGCCCTGTGCGTCCTCATCAGAGCTGCTACGTCCACCTCATGAAATGCATCCTCCTTCCCCGCCCCGGCCACTGGCTGCACAAGGACAAGGGAACTTCCTGCCATTGATCTCCGTTCATGACACCACCACCCGCACAAGTCACCCTCCCTGACCACACACCATGTCTGTTCACCTGCAAGCTCCCCACCCCTTCCTGGTTCCCACACTGCTCCCCGCCACCTCAGAGGCCTCACCCCACTGCTGTCCTCCCTGCCCAGGCCCCACCTGGGGAGCCTGGGCACCCTCCTGGGTTCTCCTCCAGCTCTGGACCTCTCCCTGCTTCCAAGTGCCACTGATGGGTGAAGGGGGTCTTGGGGTGTCCTCCAAACCATGCCCACATCGTGGCCTGCTATCCTGCATCCCTGGCCCTGTCTCCTCAGGTGCTGTGGCTGAGGTCCCCTGTAGGCCCGGCTCCTACTGTGGGCCCCAGACGAGGATGCCCCCCCTCTGCCCTGGGGGCTACGCCTGCCCTGCCAGCTCCTCCAGCTACAGTGGCCCAGGGCAGCGGTGAGCATCTTCCCCCCACCCCCCAAGGCCTCAACCCCAGCCCTGGAACTGCTGTCAGCACCCTATGTGAGGCCCCCCATGACAAGCCTGTGTGCCTCAGAAATCCAGCCAAAGGGCAGGGCCCAAAAGCAAGCCCTGGTGACCCTCTGTTTGGGCTTCCCAGCTAGGGCCAGCCCCTGCCTCTGCCCCAGGGAAGGCGGGGTGAGGAAGCACATTGCCCTGGGATGCCCCTGTCAGAGTGCAGGCTCATCCTGGTGGGGCAGCCAGGTGGAACCACAAAACTACAGCACGCCTAGTTACATTTGACTTACAGGTAAAGGACGGTACATTTTTACTCTAAGTATGGCCCATGCAATATTGGGGGTGCACTTCTACTAAAATCATGCTCATTGTTTATCTGAAATTCAAATAGGACTGGGCATGGAGTATTTCATCTGGCAAGCCCCATCCCGTGTCTGGGACTAATACCCTGACATCAGATCCACTCCACAACAACCCTCTGCCCAGGGTGGAATGGGCGAGCGGTTCTGGCCTGGCTACCTGGGCATGGCTTATCCTCCACCAGAAAGGCAGCTTGGTGCCGTGGCCCCACCAGACACAAGGCAACCCCAGGACCCCTGGCTGGGACAGTAGCAGAGTCCCCCTCCCGCAGCAGCTGAGGCCCCAGGCCAGGGACAGTCGGCCCCCGCTAGTGAGAGGAGAAACCACCACACACACAGGTCCCGGCAGCATGCACCATCCGGGCTCTGTCTCTGCAGCTGTGTCTTTCCCAATTACTGCCCCCCGGGCAGCGCCCAACCCCGTGCCTGCCCTGGGGGCTCCGAAGCCCTGAATGGGACCGGCCTCAGGGTCTCTGAGGAGATGTGCTGCCGCCTCTGTGAAGCGGGCACCTACCACAGCCGGACCCTGGATGCCCTACCCTGCCAGCCCTGCCCGCCTGGATTCAGCTGCCCCCAGGGTGAGTCCCTGGGAGCCCTGGGCAGGAGAAGGGGGACCGGGCCTAGAGGTGACCCTGAGTGGAGCTCAGTGAGGCGGGTGGAGGCACAGGCAGGGAGGGACCCTTAGGGCCTGGGGACAGCCCAAGAGGCCTGGAGTAGCCCAAGACACAGACCCAAGAACGTGAGGAGGATGGGGACACACAGCAGATGAGTGTCAGCTGCCACCGCATCAGGTTTAAAAGTCCTCCAGACACAGGGCAAAGCGGCACGCACACGGATGTGTCGGAGCCAGTGGCCCAGGCACCCTGGAGAGTAGGACAGCCACTGTCCAGCGCCCCGCAGTGCCCAACACCCTGCCCTGCACCTGGCTGAGAGGGAGACCAAGGGGCTGTGGGAGGTGAGGGGGTTACAGGGTGCAGAGCCCTCCACTGTCCCCACGACCTAGATTCTTCCCTGATTTGCTATGAGGTTCCCCCTCTCCCCCAGCGGGCACATCTCTCCCCTGGACAGCCCCAGCCCACTCGCAGTCCCTGCCTTGGCTGGGACAGAATTTCCTCTCTGTGTTCCTCCAGGGTCAGAGAGCTACCAGGGCCATCCCTGCCCGGTGGGCCACTACTGCCCTGCAGGGACTCACAGCCCAAGGCCCTGCCCAGCAGGGACCTTCAGAAGCAGCAGCGGGGCCAGGGCAGCTGAAGAGTGCCAGCTGTGCCCTGCGGACACCTTCAGTGCCCTGCCCGGACAGGTGGGTTGCCTCACCTGTGGGAGCGTCGCTTTCTCTCCACCAGGTGAGTGTCAGGTCTGCCTGCTCCTAATGCCCTGTCTGGGGCCTGCAGCTTTGAGGGCCCAAGGTGTAAGGTTTCAGGAAACAGCCACCTATGGCTGAGTGGAGCTGTTCTAGGAGAGCTGCAGGTGGGGGCAGGAGCCTCTCTGTGACTCCCACGCACTGGGTTGGATGTGTGAATGGAGCAAGTGTGTATGCCAGGACTCCAGCAGGCAAACGGGTGGGTGTGAGGGAACCAGCTCAGACCAGGCTCAGCCACTTGCTCAAGGTGGCTCGGTGGATGGGGCCAGCACCGCTCTGAGGCCGTCCAACAGGCTGCGATGCTGCGTGGCTCTCCGGGGAACAGCCTTGTTCTGCTCACCCAAGTCAGTCCCTGGTCGTAGGGTCAAGGGCAGAGCTGCAAGTGCAGCTCCCAACTTTGAGCCAGCAGCCCTGCTGATGTCTCCACTTCTCCCCATTTTGAGGTGTGGTCTTCTCATGGTCTTTGTTGTGGCACCCATATGTATGCAGTCCACTGTACCAACAGAAGTAACCAGATAATCTTACGATGGATAATCCAAAAGTTACACGTGTCATACATAGTTAGCCTCAATGGGGGCTCCAATTGAGGGCTGACCTCAGAGCTCTGCTGATGGTGTCGGCAAGCTTCCTCTCTTAAGGCAATGGGACTGCTTACCACATGCCAGGCGTGTTCTAATGCTATATAATGTCAGCTTACGTGATCCTCATGACAACTCTATGAATCACGTACCCATTATGATCCCTGTGTTATGAGTATGTAAACTGAGGCACAGAGAGTTTAAATAACTTGCCCACATCAGAAGGTTAGTGGTGGCAGAACCAGGATTTGAACCCAGTCTGGCTGACTCCCAGTTTCCTGCTGTCAACCACCACACCATGACACCTTCAGATGCTGTGATTTGAGGTGTCCAGGGATTCTGCCGTCCTTTCTTATCTTCCAGCTGAGGCATTCTATCTCTGAGGTGACCAACCCCTGAATCTTGTAATCCCCCCATTTACCTGGAGACCAGGGGCTGAGTAAAGTGGGTCCCAGAGGTGGTTGTGTCTAAATTACATTTCACTGGTGGATTCGTAACAATCACGTACAGCTGTTTGTGTGCTTTTCAGCTATTGAGGGGTATATTTTTAACTGGGTTGGACACGTGATTGTAATGTTGTTAGCGAAATGACCCTTAGATAGCACTAAAATCTTTTCCAGGCTAATGTTATTGCAGCCATTCTCTGTGATGTGGAACTCTCCAGGCTGTGTTTGTCTGCCATAGCCAAATCCCACAGACGGGGGGGCTTGAGCAACAGAAACTTACCTCCTCAGAGTTCTGGAGGCTGTAAGTCCAAGATCGAGGTGTCAGCAGGGTTGGTTTCTCCTGAGGTCTCTCTCCTTGGCTTGCAGCTGGTCACCTTCCCCCTGTGTTCCCACATGCTCTTTTCTCTGTGTCTGCATCTGGTGTCTCTGTGTGTCCAAATGTCCTCTTCTGATAAGGGCAACAGTCACATTGGAGTAGAGCCCCTCCCACATCTTCATTTTGACCTAGTAATCCCTTAAAGGCCCTACCTCCAGTTACTGTCACATTCTAAGGTACTGGGGGATAGGGCTTCTGTGTGCAAGTCTAAGGAAACACAATTCATCCCATAACGGGGACCCTAATCGCCTCTGGGCTGAGCACCAGAACAAGCAACATTCTTCTCAGGCTGTGTCCCAGTTATGCTTCTTCACATCTACAGTAAGTCCCACTCCAGTTGATATACTCTTCTTTTTTATTTCCTGCAAACTGTTGATTTGTTGTATAGGGTATGAGTTAAGGTTCATAATATCTTTTTCCCAAATAGGTATTCAATTGGCATGGAACCTAACATGAAATAATACCCAGGTTTGTCATTGATCAAACATTTCATAGACATGCAGGTGTGTTTGAGAATCTCATGTCTGTTCCACTGGTATTGCATTCTATTCCTGTACAGGAATCACCCTGTCCTAATCACTGTAGTCATATACGTCTTAAATCGAGTAGTCTGTCTTCCAACTGTGTTCTTTTCAACAACAATGGCTATTCATGGTCCTTGCATTTCCATATAATCAGATTATTAGTATCTACACAGGAACCTGCCAGGATTTCTACTGGGATTTCGTAGAAACAATTGATCCATTGGCAGAGAAATGACATTATTACTATTTTGAGTCTTCTAGTCCTTGAACATGGCTTATCCTCTCATTTATTTATCTCTTCTTTTATTTTTCTAAGCAGATTTGTGTGGGGGATTTTTTGTTTTTTGGGTAGAGATGGTGTGTATCTCATTAGATTTACTGTTGGACTTTTTATGTTGTAAATGTTATTAGGTTTCATAAATCTTTATCTAGTAATGTTTTGTTTGTCTGAAAGGTGTATTTTTTCAGCTTTATTCTTGAAGCATATTTTAGCTAGGTATAGAACTCTATCTTGAACTTTTTCTTTCAGTATTTCAAAAATATCCTTCCATTGCCTCTGGTTTTTCTTTTTCTGATATTAGTCTTATCTGCTCTTCATAGTTAAACGTCTTTCTGCTCTTGTGCTTTTAAGAGATTCTCATTGTCTTTGGTTTTTCGGATTGTAACTGAAGTTTTCTTCCTGTAGTTTTTCTTTGGATTTATCCTTCTCGAATCTGGTTTAATGGATTTCACCAATTTTATAAAATTCTCAGCCATTCTGTTTTGAAATATTTATTCTTTCCTTTTTGATATCCAATTACTCATGCTATCACTTTTTACTATGTCTCTTGCACTATTTTCTGCATTTTTATATTTAATTTTCTCTATGCTTCAATCTAGATAGTTTTTTGGACCTATATTCCAGTGTTTTAATTTTATCTTCAGCTCCATATGATCTCCTATTAAATGTATTATTGATATTTTAATTTTTGCTATTGAATCTTCTATTTCATTATAGTTCTCTATTCCTTGCTGACCTTTTCCACTTTATCATTTATCAGACATAGTAATGGCAGTTTAAAGTACATGTCCTGTTTGGCAACTTTAATATTTGGATCCCTTGAGAGTGTGTAACTATTGTCTGGGTTTCTTCACATTAGTATTTCTTAATGATTTTTGTTGTTTTGTATGTCTGGTTATTAGTATTATTTTTTTTTTTTTTTGAGACGCAGTCTCGCTCTGTCACCCAGGCTGGAGTGCAGTGGCGCGACCTCGGCTCACTGCAAGCTCCGCCTCCTGGGTTCACGCCATTCTCCTGCCTCAGCCTCCCAAGTAGCTGGGACTACAGGCGCCCACTACCACGCCTGGCTAATTTTTTGCATTTTTAGTAGATATAGGGTTTCACTGATGTCTGGTTATTTTCTATTGAATGCTAGATGTTCTGTTGACAACTGTAGAGAAAATTTCCAATTCTGGATGGTGTTACCTTCCTCCAGGGAAGAATTTTTTTTATTCTAGGAGGCAATTAGAGTAGGAACAAATGACTTCAATTCATCAGGGATTTAGCAAATGTAGTTCTGGCTCCATGTCTTGAGAGAGTGAGTTTCTTTGCAGTCAAGTCTTAGGGTGTAACCCCTCAGTGGTTCCAGTTGAAAGCCTGTGATATTAACTAGAGACTCTCATTCTTGGTGGATTCAGTGTTTGTTCCCTTATCCTTGTGAGACCTCCTGAAGCCGTGCTCATCTTCTCAGCTGTCTCACTCAGTTCAGCTATAATAAAGTACCATAAACTGGAAGGCTTATAAACAACAAAAATTTACTTTTCACGGTTCTGGAGGCTGGAAGTCTAAGATCAGGATGCCAGCATGCTTGGGTTCTGGTGAGGGCCTGCTTCTAAGTTGCAGACTACTGACTTCTTGCTGTGTCCTCACATGCCAGAGAGCCGAGAGCAAGAGAGCTCTCCGGGCCCCTTTTATAAGAGCACTAATCCCACTCCTGAGGGCTCCACCCCTATGACCTAATCACCTCCCAAAGGCTTCACCTAACATGATCACTTTGGGGTTGAGGATTTCAACATAAGAATTTGAGGGAAGAGAAACATCCAGCCCATAGCACCAGCTTCTCAACTGCACCTTTGAAGTGGCAAATGCCTTTAGGGAAAATGCAACACCAGATTGGAGTGTGGGGCACATCCCTCTGGATTTTCCTTCTCTCCAGATGTTTTTCGTAAGTCTTTACGTCCTCCATTTTTCAAACAGATACTCTCTACGTATTTTTCCACCTTTCTAGTTATACATCATAGGAGGATTGGTCTGAAATAAGCTATCCTGCCATTGCCAAAGGTAGAAATTTGTTTATTTTTATCTTGTAAGCATATGTAGTTTTGTAAACTGCCTCTTTCTCTTTGAGAAGGAGGTACAGAGCTTTCTACTTAATTTGTTTTTAAGGTTATCTCACAGACACTAACCTTCCACTATTGTCGGTTCCACAAAGGCACTGTGGAAGATACTAAGATAGGTATAACAGGAGGAAGGAAAATATTCACACCCGTGGTGGCAGAAGTGTTGAGTGCTGCAAGAAGGCAGCCCAAAAAGTCTGAATGGTTTAAAACAGGAAGAAATTGCTTCTTCATGACTGGATCAGGAGAACTTATGGAAGAGGTATATATTTAAACTCATCAACATAAAATATTCAAAAGGGTCAGAATCTAGTTTAAGGAGAGTTTATTCAAGAGCAACATTTAAGGTTAGCTGCTTGGGAAGCCCAGATTCCAAAAAATGGAAGTCAGAGTTCTGCAGTGTAGAAGTTTGGAATTGTTTATATAAAGTTTGGGAAAACTAAACTTCCCTAAACATCTTCCCTTCAACATCTTTCTATTCAAGGCTTAACGTGTAGTTACAGTGATCTAATTAGTCAAGGTGGTCTCTTTCATTCAGGAAGGGTATATTTAACGTTCTACACTGAAGATACAACAGTCATGGGGTCTTGGGTGCCGTCTAGTCTGAGTTAGGTACGGGACAACAAAGGAGGAGTTAATCTATAACAGAGATCAGTGATTGGAAGTAGGGAAGTTCTGGTCTCTGGTCTCTCCTAGTAATTTACAGAACAAGAACAATGAGGAAGTGAGTTCATCTATAGTACAAGAAACTGAACTGCAAACACTCTATGTGATTCTGTCTCTGGGGCTTAACTTCCCCTTTGGCATAATAAATTTAGAGGACCCTGAAATTTTATTTTCTTTTACAAGCTGGATCTTGAGGATGAGTAAAACTTTGGTGCATTGAGATGGTGAGGGGAAATATTTTTTAAATGATACTTGTAATACAGATCTGTGGTTAATTCTACAGCCATGAATGTCAGGCCAAGTTCAGACTTTTGTTTGAAGTGTTCTTTAACAATAGAACACTTTTTCAAAAGAATTCTCCCTTCGAGAATTAACATAAAGCGTGTGAGGCAGGATGGCTCAGATTAAACAAACGGTGGGGTCTTGTAACTGCTCCCATTTGGTTTCTCCTTCACCCAACACATCCCTGCAGCACCTCTGTGGAACCACAGGCCTCCAGAAACCCGATTTGAAGCCAGTGCCCTGGACAATGAGAAGACATGGCAGATGGCCTGATCACAGAGGTGCATCGGTCTTGCAGGGAGCCTGCAAAAGACAGGGCCTGACCATCCAGAACCAGACTAGGGGAGACAACTCCATGTGTCCCTATTATGTTACCTCCCTTCCTTCTGTATGGTGGAAATAGTTCTTTCTCTTGTTCGTTAGCAGAACAATGCCAGCTTTCCATCACCTCAGTTAATAAGCCCTGCTGAGGGCTCACTGGACACTGTGCCATGTACACGTGGAATGTGCATATGCGTGGGAATCTGCAACACACTGACAGGGCTGAATTTTAATTGTGTGTCGCCAAGTCTTCCCGAGCAGATTCCAACCTCAGCAGTGGGAAACAGGCCAGAATCGCAGGAACCCCAGTTGGCCACCAGGTCCCAATCACCACGTCAGCCCCAATGCCTCTCCCAGGAGAACAGATCCCCCTGGACCCCTTTTGTCTCCCAACTAAACCTTGTATTTCCCACTGCCCACCTTCCTGTCCTCCCAGCTTTGCCTGTCAAATCCATTCCACCCTTCAGGCCTTGGTCTCTGCAGACCTAACTTCTCCCACGTCGGGAGGCAGCAGCCTGTGCAGTGCTGCAGGACTGTCCCACACAGCTTTGTGGCGTCATGGATGGAAAAGAGGCCTCACTTTCGGTGTCCGTTGAATCCATAGTTCTCAGCCCAGCACCTAAGGGGCTTTAAAAAGGCAGATGTCCTGACCTCATCTCCTATTTTTATTTAATAGGCCTAAAGGGGACCTGAACACCAGGGTTTCTTTTTTTTTTTTTGGGTACATGTGCACAATGTGCAAGTTTGTTACATATATATACATGTGCCATGTTGGTGTGCTGTACCCATTAACTCGTCATTAACTCGTCATTTACATTAGGTATATCTCCTGATGCTATCCTTCCCCCTACCCCCTCCCTACAATAGGACCCAGTGTGTGATGTTCCCCCTTCCTGTGTCCAAGTGATCTCATTGTTCAATTCCCACCTATGAATGAGAACATGCAGGGTTTGGTTTTCTGTTCTTGCGATAGTTTGCTGAGAATGATGGTTTCCAGCTGCATCCATGTCCCTACAAAGGACACAAACTCATCCTTTTTCATGGCTGCATAGTATTCCATGGTGTATATGTGCCACATTTTCTTAATCCAGTCTGTCACTGATGGACATTTGGGTTGATTCCGAGTCTTTGCTATTGTGAATAGTGCCGCAATAAGCATACGTGTGCATGTGTCTTTATAGCAGCATGACTTACAATCCTTTGGGTATATCCCCAGTAATGGGATGGCTGGGTCAAATGGTATTTCTAGTTCTAGATCCTTGAGGAATCGACACACTGTTTTCCACAATGGTTGAACTAGTTTACAATCCCACCAACAGTGTAAAAGTGTTCCTATTTCTCCACATCCTCTCCAGCACCTGTTGTTTCCTGACTTTTTAATGATTGTCATTTTAACTGGTGTGAGATGGTATCTCATTGTGGTTTTGATTTGCATTTCTCTGATGGCCAGTGATGAGCATTTTTTCATGTGTCTGTTGGCTGTATGAATGTCTTCTTTTGAGAAGTGTCTATTCATCAGTGTTTCTTAAAAGCTTCTCATGAAAAGTCAGGGTTGAGAATGACTGAGAAGATCTCATTCAATCCCTATAAAGGCACCCAGGGTCAGAACTGTGGTAAAGATCGGTGTCTGATCTCCCTACTGAGACCATACATTCCCTGAGGACAGGGACAGAGCTGGCCACCAGCCAGGCTCACTCCTGGGTACCTGTGAGGCCAAGGGACTTCTCTATTCCCAGGTGCCTCCACCTGCACATGTCGGGGCCTGAACAGGGTCTTCCAGAAGTCGGATGGTTCCTGCATCTGCCAAGCAGGACACGTGTCCTTCAACAACAAGGATCTGGAAAGTGAAGACGAGAACAGTGGCCATGAAGACTGCCAGCCCCAGGTGAGTCCCTGCAGCTCCTAGACCAGCAGGCACAAGGGTAGGGGAAGGGGAAGGTCAGGGGGTGCTGATGGGCTGCGCCCAGGTACTTTGACTTGGGTATTTGTTTCCTGTTTGGTCCTCTGAGCCAGGTGCATTACTCTTTTGCAAGTGAGAAGGAGTTAATTCCTTAACATCTCACCAGGATGCTGGCATCACAAAGCATCTTAGAGAGTAATTCTAAGATGTGCTCCCACCACTCCACGTGCAGAGCTTGCTAGACTCTGAGGAGTCATTTGGGGCCACCCATGGGGACTCTGAGGCTGCAGATGGGCTTGCTCCTCGTGGGCAGAGTCCCCCCTGGTTGTGGGTGACCTTGCCTTGTGCCCGTGCTTGGGGCAGCTGGCAGGAGGGGCCACGTTCCATGTGGCTGGGAGACCAGCAGAGGAGCACAGAGTCCCACCCACCCCAGGCATACAGCCCCACAGCAGCATCCACCAGAGCCCCTTCCTTTCACATCTGGAGGCTCCGGAGTGGATTACTTTTGAAAAGGCAGTGACTTCTTTAGAGGGAGCCACTTTATGCCATCAGCCACTTGGTGCAGAAAGTCCTGTGCTGGCCCACAGCTCAGTCAGCCCCTCCTGGACGGAGCACAGCCCCTTATTCCCCTTATCCCTCCTACCCACCGACTGCAGGCCCCACTTTAGACAGCTCGTGCCTGTTCAGTGGTTTCCCCTTTGAACCCAAGTCTCCAGTTACCGGTCGGTCCCAATCCCGCATTTCAACCACAGAGTCAAGACCCCCAGGCCAGCCTGGCCCTCCCAGTCATGTCGGGAGCCTCAGGGACTCTCTGCCCACCCTTCTCATCTGCACCCTGGTTAGGCAGCTGTACCTGACGCTGGGGACCCAGCCTCTAGGAAGGGACAAAACTAAGGGGACGTGTCCTGCCGCTTCATCTCTGCCACATGGAGGCCGTCGCCAGCCTCTGACTTTGGCCCCTCCACTTCATCCTGCCCTGGCTGGCCTCCAGCAGCCTCAGGGGCCTTAACTCACCTGGCGCTCACTTTCCAGCAGCCTCTCCTGTCTGACCCTGCTCCTGCATGCACAAATGGCTCTGCATCCTGCTGCCTTCCAGCCTCGCAGTTCTCAAAGCGGGGCCTTTGCACCAGCAGCATCAGCATCGCCTGGAAATGTGTTGGAAATGCGCATGCTCAAGCCCTACGCCAGGCCCACTGAGTCAGAATGCCAGGGGTGGGACGCAGCCGTCTGCACTTCCGCAAGCTCTTTAGGCGCCTTTGAAACCCGCTCAACCTAGCCCCCTACGAAGGCAACCTCAGCTAAGAGCCCCTCATCTTGGGTGAAGGGCCGGCCCCATGGGTCAGCCTGGGAGTCTGTCCCTCATGCCGACATCCCTGCCTGAGGCCAAAGCCAGGGCCCCCGACAGGCCCTAGGACATAGCTCCCTCCTCCCAGTAGCCAAGAACACCAAGTCCCTGGCATCTGTCTCATCCTCTAGCTTCCCTCCCTCCCTCAGGGCTGAGTTGCTGGGGCAGCTCCTAACCGCTCCTTCCCCTCCAGAGATCAGGCTATCCTCGGAGCAGCACCAGCACCCCCTCCTCCTGGCTTCCAGCCCCAAACCTCCCATAGCTCCTCCAAGCCCTGTGAGCCTGACACACGCCAGCTGGCCCACCTCCTCACCCCTGCGGGTCAAACCTGCCCCCTTCACACCTGAAGAGGTTGAGATGCTGACCAGTAATGCGATCATGGACAGAGCGCAGGAGCCACGGCAGGGCTCGCCGCCGAGGTCAGATAGATCCTCAGTCAGAGGCGTGGTTACTTCATGGAAACCATCTCAATTCATCTCTGATTGGAATAGGCAGACTCCCTCATCCCCGAGAGGCCAGGATTTCTCCCAGGCCTGAGGCCTCCCAGCCCACCCCAAAGTGGGTGTGACCAGCCCCGGGGTGCAGAAGAAAATATGCAAGCTACCCATTTTCATGTTTTCTTCTCATTCATTTTTCATTTATATTTTAGTCTATCTTTTATGTGTAGTAAAATATATGCTATAAATTTTTACAATAATTTTTTACTCTTGATGGAGCATGATCAGGTTTGGCTACCACTGGCCTAAATACTCAGGCTGTTTCGATGGGGGTGTAGCATCCCTGACTCAACCCCCAGGGAGAGGCCGCAGTTCCCCTGTCCTCCCCTATCCTGGATCCACGCTCTCAGGAGAGAGTCATGGAAATGGCATCACTTGATGCTGTGTCCTCTTGTAGACCGTCTGCACCGGCCCTGATGAGCAGCCTGTTCTCTTGAAACACTGGTCATTCTGACCTCTGAGCTGCAGTGTCCTCCTTGCACCTACTTCACAGCCAGTCTCACCACCACCTCCTCCAGGAAGCCATCCCTGACTAGTCCTGAGCTAGAGCCCCAGTCATCTCTCCAAGGCAGCCCATTGTCCTCTGTTACTTTTGTGGGTTCCCTTGACCCTCAAGCCTAACCCTAGACTTAGCATAATGAGTAAATGACCTCCTGAGAAAAGTCTCATTCCCCTGAGGCCCTGCCTTGTGTCTCTGGAATGTTCTGTAATGCTGACAGTGCCACACACCTGGGCCTGCAGAGGTGCCAGGGCCAACAGTGTCCTGCGACCCCTCCGCAGGTCGCCGAGCGCTGCGTGCCTGGAGACGTGCGCCTGGCCGCCACCCGGGAGTGTGTGTCCCCGCAGCAGCATGACTGCGCCTCCTTCTGCCACCCGGTGGGCGGGGAGCTCAGCGCTGAACTGGGCATGTAAGTGAGGAAAGAGAATGTAGCGTCTCCTGGCAGGCCCTCACTGTCCCCACAGGACCCGTCCTGAAGGGTGTCAGTGGACCCAGCCCTGAGGGGAGCTTGAGCCAAGTGCAAGCTCCTTCCAGAAGCTTCCCTGGCTCAGCATCCCCAGGGCGCCCCGCCAACACCTGCCAGGGCAGAGCCACCCAAGGCTGAGGAGATGCTGGCCCCATGGAACAGTGGGGTCTAGGCCCCTGAGCCAAGTGCAGGAGCTGACTCCCACCACATGCTAAGCCCAGAGGGGGCCCCCAGTTCTGTCCTTAGCCCCAATCCTGCTGCTGACTTGTGGACTGAGCAGGGAGCAGTTGCCTTTGGATCAACAGGACTATTCCAGGCTGAGCAGCTTTCTCCCCACACCTGCCTCAGCAGGACACCAAAGCCGCAGTGTGCAACCCAGACCTCCATTAGAAGTGCAACGGCTGTTGAGGAAGCAGGCAGCCCGCCTTCCTTGGGGAAAGGCTGACAACCCACCCATCCCTCCTGAGGGACCTGCCTTGGCTGCAAGGATTAGGGGCCGGGGCATCCTCTCCGCACCCACCAGAACAGCCCCTCGCCCCTCCTTTCCTGCAGCTGCCAGTGCCGCGAGTATGTCTCAGCGGAGGAGCTCTGTGACGCCCAGTGTCTGGCCCAGGCTCCCCAGCTCTCCTTGGCCTGGGGCCCCAGCAGGGAGCTGATTCTCAGAGTGAAGAGTGAGGCTGGGGACAGCGTCCAGATGGTGAGCCTGGCTCAGGGAGGCTGGGTGGGAGGCCACCCCTCCACTCTGGGGTGGGGATCGGGAGACATGGAGCCACCTAGGCACCATGTAAAGGAAACCAGGTGGCAGAGGGAAAAGGCCACATGGTGACTGGTCTTCCCCACCCAGCCCTGCCATCTGCATGGCTTTCCAATCTGCAAGCTGAAGGCAAGGGCAGGAAGGAGGTAGCAGGTGGTATTTTGTACATTAATGTCAATCATTCTGTTTAAAGGCCAAATGAGACCTGAGAAAGCATCAGCTTCACTTTACAGATGTGTGAAGTGAGGCCTGGATACAAGGCATCATCTGCCATGCCCAGTAAATGGTGTGCGCTCTGCTGGAGCCAGCCTGGGTTTCTTGTTCTCAACAGGAGCTCTGACCACAGGGCAGGGCCAGGTGTTGGCCTTTGAGGTGGTGGCTATAGCCATCTTCAGGGCCTTGATGCCTCCTTGGGGTAGAGGGTGCAGGGGCAGGTGCATGCAGAAGGCAGGTCACCTTTCTGCAGGTACATGCAGAAGGCAGGTCAGGCTGGCCCTGCATGGATTGCATCTGCCAGGAGATTCTGGGTGGTGCACTGTCTGCTGCCACTGGAGGGCCACGGAGGATCATCTGGCTTGGGACTGGGCAGCAGATTGGGGGTGATAGGGAGATGTCTCCAAGTCGGTCTCTAAGTAGGATGTTTGTAGGTAGAGGGAAAAGGGCACGCGGTGACCCAGTAGAGGGTTCAGATTGAGTTCCAGTGCGTTCTGAAGATAAGGAGGGGAACAGGGCCCAGGAGGCCACACTGGAGAGGCTGAGGGTGGCCGTCACTGCGTCCCAAGGAACACCAGGGCCCAACCTGGGTCTTTGTCTGTCCGTCTCTGCCACCCTTCCTCCCGGGCCTGGGATCTCATGCAGGAAGTATCAAGCACTCTGGGCCCAGACCAGCTCTTCCAAGGGAGCGTCAGGGTCCATCTGGTCCAGTTTGGCCCCCACGGCGTCTTCGGCTTCATCATCCCCAGAGCAGATGTGCTCAGCTCCTTTCTTCTCGGTGAGTGGAGGAGAGGACACCAAACCCGGGCCTTCCCGGAGAGCGTGGCGGATGTGGGGCATGGCTGCATTCTCCCAGCAAGGGCAAAGCATGGAGGCTGCAGGGCCCACCTACAGCCCCTCAGAAACCTCTCAGCTGTGTCCCAGGTGCTCCGGAGGGGAGAATCTGGCAGAGCACACAGATGGTTACAAAGGAGAGACCTTTGCATGGAGAGGGCCCAGTAGGGAAGGGAGGCGGGTGGGGCTGATGGGTGAGCACGGGCCTTCCCCCAAGCCCAGGTCTTCAACAGGCCTTTCCCCAACTCTCCCAGGACCACCTGAAGCCAGTCCCCAGCTGCAAAGACATTATCGGACCTCAGGCCCAAAGCAGCCCGGCCCCCAGGTCCCTGGCATCAATCCTCGTGTTCCAAACCCCGTGGTCTGCCTGGGGCTAGGGGACGTGATCCTCTTCCAGCTTCATATTCTTCCCCACAGTGAGTGCCGCCCACTGAGCTCAACCGGCCTCCCTCCGGGTTGGGCCCTCTGATCCCTCCCCTGGCCTTCTGGGTGGCCTTGCCTAAGAACAGGCCTCGTCAGTGCAGGAATCCCAGACCTGCGCTGTGCCCGGTTATTCACTTCACCGTGGGCTGCATTTCCACGTGTGTAGAATCAGGGAGTTGGGACAGGTGTTCCTGCTCCGACATTCTGCGGCAGTGGGACCTCTTTACTTCAGGGCGGTGGGGACTCACCCAAGTCAAGCGTACCACTGCCTGGGGCCCCAGGCCTCCCAGAGCTTCCCAAAGCCCGGCGACCCTTGCAGGGGCAAGCACCAGCCGTGCCATACAGTCATCCTGCAGGGCTGGACCCCAAAACACCACAGACCGCTCTGCTTTGGGGTGCCTCAGTTGATAAGGAACGTCTTCCTCATGATGAGCTGAAGCCTGTGTTCTCGCTGTGGCCCCACCCCTGGGAACCTGCAGAGCAGGATTGATCCCTTCTCCCTGAGAGAACGGGGCACTCACGTCTCTCCCAGCTGTGACTGCATCCTGTCCACACACGTCATGCTCCTTCCATCTACTGAACACTGGTCCTGGAGCCCTCAGCAACCCCAGCCCCCTCCCATTCTCCTCGACCAACACTGGCAACCTGCAGCAAAGAGGGAAATGAACCCCGGGAAATGCGCTCTTCAGGGTGCCTGTGCGCTCCATAACCCGCTGGGACCCGGGCAGCCCCTTCCCCCTCTAAGCTTTGGCATTGGCATCTGTGAAGTGAACCCAGTCACTTCCCCTTTCTCCACATGTGCAGCCCCGTGTTGGTCAGGAGCTGGGGGCTCAGGAAGAAGGATTGACAGCCGTGCTCAGCTAAAGGCTCCTTGTGTGGAGGAACTGCCAGGCCGGGCCCCCCGGGTTTCAGTCAGAGGCACTGCCACCCCCTTCACTCAGCCACTCCACAGCACACATTTTAGTGCCTGCTGCATGCCCGCATCATGCTGCCTGCTGCGGGTGCAGAGAGGAGCTGCCCCGCTTGGGAGAGGGCCAGGGCATCGACCATGCTCACCACGAAAGGCGTGGCATCTGGGGGCTCTGCTGAGAGCATGCTCTCTGTGTGTCAGTGGTCTCTGTAGGCAGAGGGAGGAGGGCTGCCCTCGCACCCAGATCATTAAATGCACCATCACAGGTGTGACAGGGTGAATCATGGCATCTCATGGGAAGCATACCTCAGTTCCCCTCACTCTTCTGAGGATGGATACTGGGTCTGTCCCTGGACCTGGGTTGCTCAGGACTGGGGCTGGGACGGGCTCTGGAACCCAGCCCAGCCCTGCATTCATCCCCCAGACCGCTCGGCCAGCCACTACCCTGTGTACCAGAAGCAGCATCTGTTCAACAGCAACCCCCACTGGGACTCCGGGGCCTTCCGCAGACTCAGCCACCTGGTGCGAGAGACACACCTCAACTTCTCAAAGTAACACAGCTGAGCTCCCTGGAGTTTGGGAGGTGGGAAGGGAAGGGGTGAGGTTGCTCCATGTGGCTCACAGCCTCTCCCTGGACGGGCCAATAGGAGAACACAGGAGACTGCAGACCATACAGGTGGCCAGGCCAGAGCCCAGGGGCAGGAGAGGCCTCCTGTTCATGGGGCAGAGGGGAACTTGGCAGGTGGGACCTCCTGGTGCCCAGCAGGGGTTATAGCAGCTTCCCTGGACCACATTGTTCCGTATGCAGGGAGACATTTAGACCTGGCTTGCTGTGAGTGGCCCGTTGCAGGTGAACCTTCACATTCTGACTCCTGATCTCTGCTCCTCAGGTTTGCCCACCAGTTCCTAGATCCAGGCACATACACGTTTCAAGACAACGGGCAGCCAGAGAGTCTGGCTGTGGTGCTGGTGAAGGAGGAGGGGGTGGCCTGTGGTCCTGGCCTGTCCCCTGTGCAGCCCTCATCCCCATATCAGCTGGGCAGGCAAGGCGTCCTCAGGCACAGGCTGCCAAACCTGGGCCCAGACTGGGCAGTGATCACAGGTACTGATTGACAGGACATAGCAGCCAGGACTGGAGCATATAGGGAGGAGTGCCATGCCACAGGGTCCTGAGTGTGTGTCAGCCTTGTCTGAGGCCCTGGGCGCCTAGTATGTGTCAGCCCTCTCTGAGGCTCTGGGTGTAGCCTCCAAACTCCAGATATGTCCACAGTGACAGTGGCATGGTGCAGCTTGTCCTTGACCTAGGACTTCATTTGCAAGCAAAATTTTTTCCCATTTGGGGCCTCCTTTCTTGCTTCCCCTTCCCCACTTCTCATACTCCGTTGGTACTGAAAGCTGCCCCAGTGGACAGCGTCCTTGAGTGGAGTCATAGGATCACACAGACACCCTAGACGAGCCCCCAGTGTGGGTTTCCCATCTTCCTTCCTTCTTTTCTCCAGAGGTCAGCAATCTGCACTGAGCTCTTTAGGCTGGGGCCTGCCCAATGGGCGAGAGGACACAGCCCTCTGACAGCTAAGACTCAGAGCCCTGGGTGTAGGGCAGCAACTCTTTCTCTGTTACACACACACACACACACACACTTACATGCATGCACGCACACATACACTCAGAGCACAGGCCTCATGCAGGACTGTCCCAGGAGGGTCCTCACAGGGAAGGGCACAGGGTAGTGGGGAGGGCCTCCCAGCGGGAGACTAATGGCATAAAGCCCAGAGGCGGGAAGGGAGCTGTGACAAGTTCAACTGCAAGGGCAGCAGGGCGGAGGCCAGGGCCACTGAGGCAAATGCAAAACAGCAGTTCTCACGATCCCAGGCAGCATGGAGGGGCTCTGAGTGGCCACCATGTAGCCCCATTCCCCTCTCCCGCCCACCTCCCAGGGGTGCTGCTGGCTGCTGGCTTGGCGACTGTGCTGTTGACGGGCCTGGGCCTCCTGCTGAGTCCTTCCCTGCCCCATGCCTGCCCCATGCAGGCTTGGAAGCCTCGGTGGAGAAGCCTGGGACAGCCTCAGGTGCCTGCTGAGTATGTGATCCTCAGGGACAGGTGAGTCCCTCCTGCCCCCCACACACCAGGCCCAGCCCTGGCCCAGCCCGGGGACTGCCGTGGCAGGTCTGGTCACTCCCCAGGAGCCTGGGCACTGGCCAAGCTCCCCCTGACCCTGTGGACTTGGGACAGATGCTCTTTAGAGTTAACCTGTGATGTGGGCTCCACGTGGGGTTCAGCACTGCCGCTTGCATCTGGGCACTGAGGCTGGCTCTTCCTTTTAGCCTCCCGTTCTATGAAGACCTTGGCCCTCGGGGATCTGGGGAAGGAGCTGACTCTGAGAAGGCCATGAGCCGGGGTACAGGTACCATGCTGGTGTGCAGTCAACTCCTCTTCAGCAATACTTGTTATTTTCCTTTTACTAGATAGTAAGTATGCTACTAGGTGCATATATATACAATGATATCTTTTTGTAGTTTTGATTTGCATTCTTCCCTAATGATTAGTCATATTGAGCATCTTTTTATGTGCTTATTGGCCCTTTGTATATCTTCTTTTGAGAAATGTCTACTGGAGTTCTTTGTCCAGTTTTGAATTAAGTTGTTTGGTTTTTGTGGTTGTTGTTGTTGAGTTTTAAGAGTTCTCTACGTATCACATACATGATTTGACAATATTTTCTGTGATTCTGTGGGTTGCCTTTTTACTCTGTTTATAGCGGTTTTTGATGCACGAAATGTTTTTTAAGTCATGAAATTCAGTTTGCAAATTTTTTCTTTTATTGCCTGTGTCTTTGGTATTGAATTCAAAAATTCATTGCCAAATTCAATATTGTGATGTTTTTGTTCAGTGTTTTCTTCTAAGAATGTTATTGTTTTAGGTCATACATTTAGGTCTTTGATCCATGTTAGCTAATCTTTGTGTGTAGTGTTAGGAAGGAGTCCAACTTCATTCTTTTGTATGTGGATATCTAGTTCCCTCAACACGATTTATTGAAAAGACTGTCCTTTTCCCTCCTGAAGGGTCTTGGGTTCCTTGTCAAAGGTGATTTGACTGTATCTGGAAGGGGTTATTTCTGGCCTCTCAATCCTTTTACTAGTTACAGGTCTATTTAGATTTTCTATTTCTTCATGATTTAGGCATGGTGGGTTTTGTGTTTCCAGGAACTTGTCCATTTCGTCTAGGTTGTCTTAATTTGTTGGCATACAGTTGTTCACAGTACTCTTATCATCCTTTTTTGTTTTTGTAAACTTGTCCTCATTTTCGTTTCTGATTTTAGTAATTTGAGTCTCCTTCTTTTTTTCTTAGTTCATCTAGCTAAAGATATGTCAATTTTGTTCATCTCTCCCAAGAAACAACTTTTGATTCTATTTTTTTCTATTCTTTTTGTGTTTATCTCTGCTCTCATCTTTGTTATTTTCTTCCTTCTGCTAGATTTAAGTTTGTTCCTCTTTTTCTAGTTGCTTAAGTTGTAAAGTTAGGTTGTTCATAGAGATATTTTTTGTTTTATGATACAAATATTTATAGGTACACATTATGCCCCTTGGTGCTGCTTGGGTTTTGGTAGGTGGTGCTTTTTTATGTTCATTCATCTCTAATTATTTTCTAATGTCCCCTGTGATTTCTTCTTTGATCCATTGGTTGTTTTAAAATGTGCTGTTTAATTTCCAAAAGTTTTTGGATTTTTTAGTTTTTCTTCAATTACTAATTTCTAGCTTCATCCCACTGTCGTTAAAGAAGATACTTTTTTATGATATCCATCTTTTTAAATCTATTGAGACTTAATTTTGTGGCCTAACATATACTCTATCCTGGAAAACATCCCATAAGCACTGTAGAAAAATACGCATGCTGTTTTTGTTGGGTAATGTTTTCTATATGTCTGTTAGATCTAGTTGGTTTTTGTGTGTTTAAGTCCCCTATTTCCTTACTTATATTCTGTCTGGTTGTTCTATTATTAAGAAGTGGGTATATATACACCATGGAATACCATGCAGCCATAAAAAATAATGAGTTAACGTCCTTTGCAGGGACATGGATGAAACTGGAAGCCGTCATTCTCAGCAAACTAACACAGGAACAGAAAACCAAACACTGCATGTTCTCACTCATAAGTGGGAGTTGAACAATGAGAACACATGGACACAGGGAGGGGAACATCACACACCAGGGCCTGTTAGGGGGTGGGGAGCAAGGAGAGGAAGAGCATTAGGACAAATACCTAATGCCTGTGAGGCGTAAAACCTAGACGATGAGTTGATAGGTGAAGCAAACCACCATAGCACATGCATACCTGTGTAACAAGCCTGCACACTCTGGGCATGTATCCCAGAAATTAAAGTAAAATAAAATAAAATAAATAAATAAATAAATGGATATTGCAGTCTCCAACCATTATTGTAGAACTATTTCTGCCTTCAATTCTGACAGTTTTTACTTTGCATATTTTAGTGGTCTGTCATTCAGTGTGTCATGCGTATCATTGCTATATCTTCTTGCTGCATTGAACCTTTCATTAGTATTAATACATAGTGTACTTCTTTGTCTCTTGTAAACTTTTTTTATTTAAAGTTTATTTTGTGTGATACTAATATAACTATCCCTGCTCTCTTTTGGTTACTTTTATCATGGAATATCTTTGTCTGTTCACTTTCAGTCTAGTTGTGTCTTTGAATGTAAAATGAGACTTTGTAGACAGCAAATCTACAAAGTTGATCGTGTGTTTTTATGATCGTGTGTTGGATCATGTGTTTTTGTCCATTCTGCCAATCTCTGTTTTTTTATTGGAGACTTCAGTGTATTTACATTTAAGGTAGTTATGATAAGGAGGGACTTACTTTTGTCATTTTGCTATGTGTGAGAACGGGTGGACAGTGAGGGGAACTCAGGTGGAGGGGAAATCAGGGGAAGGCAGTCAAACAAAGCCCAGGAGAACCCAGCAAACAGCCTCCCCAGCAAGGTTGAAGATAGGGAGACTCACTCTCAGCAAAGTGTGAGGCAGTGCTGCCGCCCAGCTCTGGTGTCACACCCATCCTGCCACCTCCTACACCTGGAGACCTCCTTCCTCCTCTGCCTCCATCAAGCCTCCTCCCACCTTCACCCCGCAGTGCTGACTCCCTCCCCAGAGCTGGCCTCTCCTGCAGATGGGCCTCCCCGCTCCTCCACCTGCCCATTCTGCCTTCAAAGCCCTGAAGGAAAGAGGAAAGCAGCTGAGCCCACCACTTGGCCCAAGGTCTCCTCATCCTGAAGTCTCACTTCAAGGCCTCTTCCTGCAGGAAAGCCGCTCCTGTCCCAGACCCTGGAGGACTTCAGCATCCGCACACTGTACGACAAGCTCGAGGACCAGAACCTGCATGTTGCGTCCCAGCTGAGCAAGCACAGGAGTGATGCCCTGGCCTTCTACAGGGCCACTGCGCAGCAGCTCCAGGGACTCCAGGTCAGCCCCCATCCCCAGACTGCCACCCGGGGAGCAGCCACCCACCCCTTCTGGATACTGCTGAGCCAAGAAGGATGCCCTCAGCTAAGAGGGTGACCCAGCCCTGGATTTTCCAGGACTTTCTGCAGGGCCTCAGCAGGACTGAGCAGCAAGCTCTAGGCAGGGGTGGAGACCCTGAAACAGATCCCAAAGCCACTGCCAGAGCAGACACTGGGCAGAGCCAGGAACCATGGGACAGCCACACTGCAGCTTCTCAAAGGCAGTGCCAGCAGCCTCCTCCAGGTGAGGGCAGGGGCCTGGGTGGGCAGGACGGCAGGTGAAAACTCCTAGCATGAACTAGGAAGTGATTTGCACACCTGGGGAGTGAATTGCCCAGTGATCAAGATAATAGGGGGCACAGCAACATCGTATTGCCAGCATTGAGAGTGGGTGCAGACGCTCCCTCTGGGAGACGATCACATACAGCCGTCTGGAGGAGGTTGGAAGGGAGCTGGCCTCCCCCCTCCTGCAGAGAATAGGGGATTCTGGGACTCCCTACTGTGTCCCTCCACAGCCCCTGAGGAGCTGGTTTATACACACAGAACAGGCATTGCCTCATTGAACCCATTTAGTTGTCACAGGAAACCTGTGAATGAAATTATCACCATCTCCATTTCGTAGTTGAGGAACTGAAGCTTATAGAAGCTGACAGAACCAACCACAATCCTGTCAGAAGCCCAGTCTCAGCTACACCCCCTCCTCTCCAGCCGGAAGGGAATAAGGGGCTTACGGACCAAGGTCTGCGGCTGCTCTGCCCAGTCACTGAGGCTCCGATTCCAAGAGCCGCAGGCCTGCCACGGAGCTCCTGGCCCTTCCGGGGAGACAGCTGGGTAGGCCAGGCCAGGGTCCCACCCCACTTGTCCTCCATGAAGGTCGTGCTCCAGCAAGGGGTGGGTCCCTCGAAAATGTGTCACATTTTTGTGACCGTATCCTTGGATAAGGGGCTCTCCAAGGCCCTGTGGGCCCAGTTGGTGGGGAGTTGAGGAGCAGGGCAGACAGATGCCGGAAACCCTGCTGTCCTCGCCCCACGCTGCAGAGCACGGGTTGAGCCTTTCTTGATCTTTGCTCCAGGCCAGTTCCCTTCTCAAACTTCTCGTTAGTACACTGGTGAGCTAGGACACCTAGTGACTGTGAGAAGGAAGGGACCAAGAAAACCACCTTCTTCTGAACCCTGTCTGAGACTAAGCTAAAAACTCTGTCCCAGGCTGGTCACGGTGGCTCACACCTGTAATCCCAACACTTTGGGAGGCCAAGGCCGGCGGATCACCTGAGGTCAGGTGTTAGAGATCAGCCCGGCCAACATGGTGAAACCTCATCTCTACTAAAAATACAAAAATCAGCCAGGTGTGATAATGCATGCCTATAATCCCAGCTACTCGAGAGGCTGAGGTGGGAGGATCACTTGAACCCAGGAGGCGGAGGCAGATATTGCAGTGAGCCAAGATCGTGCCACTGCACACCAGCCTGGGTGACAGAGCAAGATCCTGTCTCAAAAACAAAGAAAAAAGAAAGAAAAAACAAACAAACAAACAAACAAACCTCTATGTCCCGAGGATTCCCCTTTGCTTGCTGAGTGGAACCTGGTTACAAGGCTGCATGAAGCCTTGCATTCCTCCGAAGCTATCACTAACCGCAAAGCAGGTTAAGTATTTTTCTTGGAAAGGGACTTTTTTTTTAAGAGGGATGGGATGAAACTCTTATCAAATTAATAAGAATAAAGCAATTAATCAACACTTTGGTGAAATTATCCTATAACTCAGAAAAACTACTCTGAGTGGCTATTTCAAAAATCTCGCTGTGGGGCCCCAGAAGACGGTGCCTGGCGTGGCTGCCATCAGGTGTGGGTGGCTGCGGGTGCCTGGGGTGCAAGGAAGTGTGGCCAACAAGAGGAAGGGGCAGAATAGGTGGAAGGGACAGAGGAGATGTGTAAATGAAAGATGGGTGGGTCTGTAAACATTTTAGAGTTAAAAAAAGAAAAGTAAGAAACAGGATAAGACGTAGGAAGGGAAGAAAGGTGTATGAAAACCAAAGCATTCATATGCAAAGCACCACCATGTGTCCCACAGGGTTCTATCCACATGTGTTTAGCACAGGATAGTGAGTGTCCCAGTGCCAGAGGGAGATGGAAATGGGCTTTGGAAATAGAGGGGAAAGTAGAAGGTGAGAGGCACACACACAACCACACACAAGGCTTCGAAAGCAGGGGAGTGACGTGAACGTCGGGTTGGGGAGGTCTGTGGCCAGGTGAGATGAACATATCGAGGTTGTTCTGTTCTCCTGTGTCCTCCTTCCCCAGGCTGCAGTCCCAGCGCCACTGCCCTGGGCCTTCAGCTGGAGCTTGACCAAGCCATCGCAGCCCTGGCATCGGCACTTTCTCAGGCACAGGGACGGTCAGCCAGAGCCAGCAGAAAGGTGAAAGGCTGCCAGGGGGCACCTGAGCACTTGTGTGTGCAGAACCACCGCCCAGTCCCCTGACCCCGTGGAGACTCATTGACACACACACATGCACATCTGCAACCACACATGCACGCAGACACACACATGTGTACAAATCACACACATACAGGCACATTCAGGTGTGCACATCCACGCTCACACGCACATGCATGCACACATACGCATACACCGCACACTCCTCACTCATGCACGGGGGCCTCATACCCCTGCGGGGCTGGGGCTCTGCACTCTGGTCAGAAACCCAGGGCACTTTACCTGTACTGGGAGATCAACCCCAGTTTCTGCTCTTCATCTCCTCCAAGATGTGTGTCCGAGATTATCTCCCCAGTCCACTGCTTGGTCTTCTAACCCACCATACAGAGCTCAGGCAGCAGAGGGATCTTGCCCTCAGAGCAGCATTTGGAAGGGAAGGCAGGCACGGCGGGCCCTTGTTCAGGAACCCCTGCCTGAGCCTGTCAGTGCCCTACAGTGAACAAAGCAGAATAACACCAAGGTGGCATGTATCTCCAAGGGGCCAAGACCACAGCCCACAGCAGGTCTTAACTCCCGCCAGGCAGTTGCCTGTGTCCCCGGGAGCAGCCGGTGGTCAGGAACTAGGTCACAGGAATCCCAAGCTCAGTTCAGGGCCTGTGCCTTCATTGCTTTAGCAATGCTGCCCTCATCTGTCCGTCGCTGTTCTTCTCCGGGCCCAAAACCTAGAGGGGAAATTACAGGACTGGCTGTCTGTTCTTCCAAGGCCTCCGGTCAGCTTGGTGAACAGCCTCCCTCCAGCTGCCAGCGGGATGTGCTCCTGACGGCCCAGCCTGCACCCTCCAATGAGGAGCACCAAAGCACAAGGTGGGGGCAGGAACCAGACAAGCTGCTGCAGCAGCAGATGTGTCCCTAGGGGCGACCTTAGCTCCCTGGCAGTGACAATCTTATACCCAAAACCTGATTTAACACCTTAATCCATTCAAATCCAGCTACAAGATTCCAGGGGTCCCTGCTTCCATAGTCCCCCATTGTCATGCCCACCTGGTTAGCCACAGGGTCCAGTGACTTGAGTAACTCTTTGGAACACATGTCATTTAGAGAAATTATTCCCACCCATGGGAACAAGGCCACATTCAGGCTGGTGGACCCCAGACGTCACACCTCATCCCCCACCTCCTTCTCGTTTTCTTCAACTATATGCCATCTCTTCTGGGGTGTAACCAAGGGATCTCTTTGTTCTTCCTCTAAGTTTTCCCAGAGGCTAAGATGGATTTGTTTGCTTATGTTGATGAGTTCTATGAATGTTTAGAGGCATGGTCTCTTTTTCCTTCATCCCCTTTTAATGACAGTAAGTGGTAGCAATCATTGACTGCTTGCATTTCTTAAATACAAGGTCTTAAGATAAGCGCTTTATCTGCTATCTAATTCAGTCCTCACAACAACTCTGTCAAGTAAGTAAGTACTATCACTAGCTTCATTTAAAGATGAAGAAACTGAGGGTGAAGTTGCTGAGATTTCAGCTTAGAGGATCAGACTCTCACAGCCCAGCCTGTACTGCTCACCTGCTCAGGCCTCCCCTCCAATCCTCCACTAAAGCCATAGTCAGTCCTCCCTCCCAGAAACACCCCTGCTATTAGTTTTTTTGTTTTGTTTTGTTTTGTTTAAGAGGCTCAGAAAGTGTACACAAGTAACTAAAGTGTCCCATAGGCAGGGAGAGAGGAGTCTGGATTCTCCTAGAGCCTCGGGCCTAGGGACCCTGGAGGTAAGGAGAGTTAAGAATCTGGGTCTCCAGATTCTAGAATGCACTCTGCCCTGAATGTTGTGGATCCTGAGCAAACACTTTCTCCAGCCAATTCCATGAGCTACCATCTGAGGATAATGTCATTCAACAAACAATGATGGCCATCTGATGTGGGGCATTGTGCAGGGTTTGAAGATGAGTGAGTCGGGTGGAATAGGCCTGAGGGTGCCAACAATGATAAGAAAAGGCGAGAAATGCTGAATCCAAGTGACCAGGTTCCAGAGATTTAAAGTTCGTAAGGATCAGCAAAGGGTTTGTGAAGCGGGGATCATTTGAGATGGGCTTTACAATAAGGGTGGGTTCCTAACTGGAGAGGTACAGGGAAGGATGTTTCTTGACAAAGACACTAGGAGAGAAAGCCCAGGTGTGGCTCACGGACTAAGCAGTTCCAGAGGTTCTAAGGCTCCCTGGGATGGCCCAGCCCTTTCAATTCAAGGCATGGAAACAGATCAGAATTGAGTTGCCTAAGGGGACTCTGAAGAGTATAGCAATGCACGGAACAGGGTTCCAGCATGAAACAGCTGGCACTTTCTAGACTGAAAACTTGGGAGCGTAATAAGGGACTGTGTACAAAAGTATGGCAGGTATGTGTGACCACACTGGGCAGTTTCTCTCCTCCCAGACCTGAAAGCAGTGCAGTGTGGGGAGGCCTGACACCGTGGTCTTTGGCCCTATCAAGGACACAGCTAGCCTGAGGTGGGGAAAGAAAATTGACCCTTCTCTTCAACCCATTTTAGGCTTTCCATCTGAGACCCTGTAAATGAGACTAACAAAAGATAGGCCAACAAAAGATAAACAAACAGAAGTTCCTAACACGTGCATCTGGCATACCCACAGGGACATGAGTAACTCAAGGGGGTGGTTAGAACTTGGGCTTATTTAGCATCTTTAAAAGAGAACAATACATTTTCAGAGAAGCACAAAACAAAGGAAAATGGCATTGAGTTTCTAGGGTGGTAAGCTGAGGGAAGGTAAATATGTGAGGAAATGGATGGCAGATAAGGACCAGTTTTAGCAGTTTGTTATGTAGATTCCTCTGTGTGTACCTGCCTCCAGTGACTGATTGCCTCTGTCGTTCCAGGTAGAGAGAGGAGGGGAGGATACCTTTACAAATTTGTGTCTTACTTTTAGGCAAATGGAGGGCCAAGAGCTTTTCTTGTATCTGCTTCTTCTCAAATGCCTTCAGCTCAGAAGAGTCTGTATGCCAGCATGGCATGCTTTGGGGTGATAACATATGTTCTGCTGCCCTTCACTGAGAAGGCTGCTCTGTACACAGAGGTGGAGCAGGCTATAGGGGAACATCAGCGATTCTGAGAGTTTATCAGTTTCTCCATCACATTAATATCACAGCCTTTTCTAATGTCAGACACTCACGGAGGAGTTGAAAGTGGCCAGTGTTCTTTTTGGATTCTGGCTGAGGTGGGTTGTGCTTCTGGACAGCAGGGGCCTGAAAGGGAACCTTTCCTTCCTCTTACTCTCAGACCCCAGCAGAACCCTGGACCCCCAGACCTCCCCCAGGGTGATGCTAAAGGAAGAGATGCCGAGAGCCCAGGACCTGGGGAGTGGATCTTTGAGGCTGGACACGGGCATGGAGCCACTCCTGAGCTGCAGGTAGGTGCATGGCTCTGGGACAAGGCCCTCTTCACCTCAGGAGCTCTTGAGGTAGCCTCATTCCCTGGACATGCTGCCCCCTCCATCAACCTTAATAATGAGTATAATTAAGTATAAAGTTTGAGTACAAAGATTGAGGATGACCTCTCAGGAAACACAGCCTCCAAACAAATGGGGTCAGCATTTCAAAGTGGAAAAGTAAAGGTTTACTTACATAGGCACTGACAGAGAGATTTTAGCAGGATTACATTTCCATTCAGGGACAGTGCATACATTACAGAGATTTGCTTAGTTCCGGATGGCTACATTCCGAGGAAGATTACTTTATTACTCTGTGAGGAGGGGTAATGATCTGAAGGGGATCTTATCTCTGGTGCCACTTGGTCTTCCAAATTATTTACAGCAAAAAAAAAAAAAAAAGGTAGAAGCTGCAACTACCATGTGACTCAGGCCATATAGCCACACTCCTCTCAAGGCTCAGAATCATTTAAAGTTCCAACAGCTTTAAGTTTGAATGAGTTAGTTTCACATGTCCCCCTTTTTATCAAGATCTGTCAAAGAAAGTATTGTAAATGATCTCAAACTGTTTGGGCTCCATTTATGTTCAGGAATGTAGTTCTGTGTTGTGAGGAAGGCTCATTCCTCAGGTCCCACGGCTGGGGAACTGATCAAGCTATAAGGCAAATGGAGTAGAGGCTGAATTTAAAGCAATATGAACCAGGTGATTTTGCACCTGAGTCAAACTACACAGCCACATCTTTAATTAATGCAATTATCTGAGTGACCGTTATTTTAATCACTACACTTACGCATCAACTCCATTGTGAACAAATGCCACGGCAGTAATGAGGGAAAAAACCAAACAAACAAAAAAACAGGACAAAACACAACAAATGATTATAATTCCTGTAATAAATAACAGCTCTGCCATCAAGTTTGCCAGGATCCAATCCAGCTGTTTAGCCAATCATTTAGAGAAGGTGTTGATTCCGAAAGGTTAAGTATTTGGGTTTTCATATCAGCCATTAATTTAGTGTTGTTATCTGATCATTTGGAATATAGACACGCATTCAGTTTTTAGGGTAGTGCAGGTTTCCCCATGGGCTGCCATGAGTGTGTCTAATACAGCCTGCCTCATAAGAACAACTTTCTTGTTTAATAATGAGACACCCACACAGCTATCCTTAAGGATCTTCTTTGTGTAATTGGTTAGGGCCTCTGCATGCTAAATTGCATTCTCAATACCCTGTTGTGGCAGAAAGATGGAAGCTAAATGATCACATCAATGGAAGACAGAATAAATCCAATGAAATGATAAATGAGGAAGATCTGAGGGCTTTGAAAGGTTATGAATTATGTGACTTGGTGCCTAGCCGTTACCCAAAGAACACAGTCCTAACAATCCTGGGGGTAAGTCCTGGCCATGGAATTGGTGCTGCATAACCAAGATATTCCACTGGAGCTAGCCAATAACCGTCCAGTCACTGTGCCCATTCAGTGGCATGTCTGCCAGTACTTGTAATGGTGTGGATACGCTCTCCCGTGGGTATCCCTCCATATCTCTAGTGCAATTGAACCAAGTTTCAGAATCTCCCCAGTTTTAAAAATTACACATTTTTCACTTAAGTCATAAATATTTACTTCCTCTTTTCAAAGAGAAACTCTCTGTGATCAAAATTTTAAATGAGAGAAAAGATTGAAAAACTCTAAGGAATAATTCCAAGCAAAACCTTAACTTTAGAGAAAAGTGAAAATTACAAATCTGTGATAAACAGAATCTCTAGAATAACAAATAAAATTCCTACCTTGCAGTAGAGCTTTAATTTCAAACCCATCAAGTTAGAAACATGTGGTACCTGAATAAAGTCTGAATCTCAACCAAGCCGAGAGACTTGAACCTGAGAGGGGTAGTACCAGAGATCCCCTGTGACTCTGGTGAGGCCAGATGAATGACAGTCATTAATGTTGGTACCAGGGCTATAGCTGCCAGAGAAGTGACGTGGATCCCTGGAGGTCTGCTTTTAGTTCCTTGGTAGGCACCAAAATGCCCATTTTAAATAATGAGAGTCAGAAAATATGATTACGCAGTTTATTGAATCGCAAAGCTTGAAGATAGCCACCTAGGACTATCTTCTAGACTCCAAATAAATGGGGTAGTATTCTAAAGTGGAGAAGTTAAGATTTCACGTATATAGGCAGACACAGAGATGTTAGCAGCATGACAACATTTTCCACACAGGGCCAGTGCGTATCTTACAGAGATTAGATTGGTTACAGATTGCTCTGTTCCAAGGAAGATTACCTTATTACTAAC